TTGACAGAGACTTACTGGTACAACTGCCACACTGAAGGCTTGACAGAGACTTACATGTACACATTCCACACTGAAGAACTTGAAAGAGACTTACAGGTACACCTACCACACTGAGGGTTTGACAGAGACTTACCGGTACCCCTACCTCACTGAAGGCTTGACAGAGACTTACTGGTACACCTCCCACACTGAAGGCTTGACAGAGACTTACATGTACACCTTCCACACTGAAGAACTTGAAAGAGACTTACATGTACCCCTACCACACTGAGGGTTTGACAGAGACTTACTGGTACACCTACCACTCTGAAGGCTTGACAGAGACTTACTGGTACACCTATCACACTGAAAACTTGACAGAGACTTACCAGTACAACTACCACACTGAAGATTTTGACAGAGACTTATATGTACACCTACCACACTGAAGACTTGACAGAGACTTACCAGTACACCTACCACGCTGAAGGCTTGGCAGGGACTTACTGGTACACCTACCACACTGAAGAATTGACAGAGACATACTGGTACACCCACCACACTGAAGAACTTGACAGAGACTTACATGTACACCTACCAGGTTTGACAGGGACTTACCGGTACACCTACCACACTGAAGGCTTGACTGAGACTTACCAGTACACCTACCACACTGAAGCCTTGAGAGAGACTTACCAGTACACCTACCACACTGAAGGCTTGGCAGGGACTTACTGGTACACCTACCACACTGAAGAATTGACAGAGACATACTGGTACACCCACCACACTGAAGAACTTGACAGAGACTTACATGTACACCTACCACACTGAAGGCTTGCGGTACACCTACCTCACTGAAGGCTTGACAGAGACTTACTGGTACACCTCCCACACTGAAGGCTTGACAGAGACTTACATGTACACATTCCACACTGAAGAACTTGAAAGAGACTTACATGTACACCTACCACACTGAGGGTTTGACAGAGACTTACCGGTACACCTACCTCACTGAAGGCTTGACAGAGACTTAGTGCTACACCTACCACACTGAAGGCTTGACAGAGACTTACTGGTACACCTACAGTACACCTACCACACTGAAGGCTTGACAGAGACTTACCGGTACACCTACCTCACTGAAGGCTTGACAGAGACTTACTGGTACACCTACAGTACACCTACCACACTGAAGGCTTGACAGAGACTTAGTGGTACACCTACCACACTGAGGGCTTAACAGAGACTTACTGGTACACCTACCACACTGAAGGCTTGACAGATACTTACCGGTACACCTACCACACTAAAAACTTGACAGAGACTTAGTGGTACACCTACCACACTGAAGACTTGACAGAGACTTAGTGGTACACCTACCACACTGAAGGCTTGACAGAGACTTACCGGTACACCTACCACACTGAAGGCTTGACAGAGACTTACTGGTACCCCTACCACACTGAAGGCTTGACAGAGACTTACATGTACACCTACCACACTGAGGGTTTGACAGAGACTTACCGGCACACCTACCACACTGAAGGCTTGACAGAGACTTACTGGTACCCCTACCACACTGAAGGCTTGACAGAGACTTACATGTACACCTACCACACTGAGGGTTTGACAGAGACTTACCGGCACACCTACCACACTGAAGGCTTGACAGAGACTTACCAGTACACCTACCACACTGAAGGCTTGACAGAGACTTACTGGTACACCTACCACACTGAAGATTTTGACAGATACTTATATGTACACCTACCATACTGAAGATTTTGACAGAGACTTATATGTACACCTACCACACTGAAGCCTTGTCAGAGACTTACTGGTACACCTACCACACTAAAGGCTACCACACTGAAGGCTTGACAGAGACTTACCATTACACCTACCACACTGAGGGCTTGACAGAGACTTAGTGGTACATCTACCACACTCAAGAACTTGACAGAGACTTACTGGTACGCCTACCACACTGAAGGCTTGACAGAGACTTACTGTTTCACCTACCACACTGAAGGCTTGACAGAAACTTACTGGTACACCTACCACACTGAATGCTTGACAGAGACTTACCAGTACACCTACCACACTGAAGGCTTGACCGAGACTTACCAGTACACCTACCACACTGAGGGCTTGACAGAGACTTAGTGGTACATCTACCACACTGAAGAACTTGACAGAGACTTACTGGTACACCTACCACACTAAAGGCTTGACAGAGACTTACATGTACACCTACCGCACTGAAGAACTTGACAGAGACTTACATGTACACCTACCACACTGAAGGCTTGACAGAGACTTACTGGTACACCTACCACACTGAAGGCTTGACAGAGACTTACTGGTACACCTACCACACTGAAGGCTTGACAGAGACTTACTGGTACACCTACCACACTGAAGGCTTGACAGAGACTTACTGGTACACCTACCACACTGAAGGCTTGACAGAGACTTACTGGTACACCTACCACACTGAAGGCTTGACAGAGACTTACTGGTACACCTACCACACTGAAGGCTTGACAGAGACTTACTGGTACACCTACCACACTGAAGGCTTGACAGAGACTTACTGGTACACCTACCACACTGAAGGCTTGACAGAGACTTACTGGTACACCTACCACACTGAAGGCTTGACAGAGACTTACTGGTACACCTACCACACTGAAGGCTTGACAGAGACTTACTGGTACACCTACCACACTGAAGGCTTGACAGAGACTTACTGGTACACCTACCACACTGAAGGCTTGACAGAGACTTACTGGTACACCTACCACACTGAAGGCTTGACAGAGACTTACTGGTACACCTACCACACTGAAGGCTTGACAGAGACTTACTGGTACACCTACCACACTGAAGGCTTGACAGAGACTTACTGGTACACCTACCACACTGAAGGCTTGACAGAGACTTACTGGTACACCTACCACACTGAAGGCTTGACAGAGACTTACTGGTACACCTACCACACTGAAGGCTTGACAGAGACTTACTGGTACACCTACCACACTGAAGGCTTGACAGAGACTTACTGGTACACCTACCACACTGAAGGCTTGACAGAGACTTACTGGTACACCTACCACACTGAAGGCTTGACAGAGACTTACTGGTACACCTACCACACTGAAGGCTTGACAGAGACTTACTGGTACACCTACCACACTGAAGGCTTGACAGAGACTTACTGGTACACCTACCACACTGAAGGCTTGACAGAGACTTACTGGTACACCTACCACACTGAAGGCTTGACAGAGACTTACTGGTACACCTACCACACTGAAGGCTTGACAGAGACTTACTGGTACACCTACCACACTGAAGGCTTGACAGAGACTTACTGGTACACCTACCACACTGAAGGCTTGACAGAGACTTACTGGTACACCTACCACACTGAAGGCTTGACAGAGACTTACTGGTACACCTACCACACTGAAGGCTTGACAGAGACTTACTGGTACACCTACCACACTGAAGGCTTGACAGAGACTTACTGGTACACCTACCACACTGAAGGCTTGACAGAGACTTACTGGTACACCTACCACACTGAAGGCTTGACAGAGACTTACTGGTACACCTACCACACTGAAGGCTTGACAGAGACTTACTGGTACACCTACCACACTGAAGGCTTGACAGAGACTTACTGGTACACCTACCACACTGAAGGCTTGACAGAGACTTACTGGTACACCTACCACACTGAAGGCTTGACAGAGACTTACTGGTACACCTACCACACTGAAGGCTTGACAGAGACTTACTGGTACACCTACCACACTGAAGGCTTGACAGAGACTTACTGGTACACCTACCACACTGAAGGCTTGACAGAGACTTACTGGTACACCTACCACACTGAAGGCTTGACAGAGACTTACTGGTACACCTACCACACTGAAGGCTTGACAGAGACTTACTGGTACACCTACCACACTGAAGGCTTGACAGAGACTTACTGGTACACCTACCACACTGAAGGCTTGACAGAGACTTACTGGTACACCTACCACACTGAAGGCTTGACAGAGACTTACTGGTACACCTACCACACTGAAGGCTTGACAGAGACTTACTGGTACACCTACCACACTGAAGGCTTGACAGAGACTTACTGGTACACCTACCACACTGAAGGCTTGACAGAGACTTACTGGTACACCTACCACACTGAAGGCTTGACAGAGACTTACTGGTACACCTACCACACTGAAGGCTTGACAGAGACTTACTGGTACACCTACCACACTGAAGGCTTGACAGAGACTTACTGGTACACCTACCACACTGAAGGCTTGACAGAGACTTACTGGTACACCTACCACACTGAAGGCTTGACAGAGACTTACTGGTACACCTACCACACTGAAGGCTTGACAGAGACTTACTGGTACACCTACCACACTGAAGGCTTGACAGAGACTTACTGGTACACCTACCACACTGAAGGCTTGACAGAGACTTACTGGTACACCTACCACACTGAAGGCTTGACAGAGACTTACTGGTACACCTACCACACTGAAGGCTTGACAGAGACTTACTGGTACACCTACCACACTGAAGGCTTGACAGAGACTTACTGGTACACCTACCACACTGAAGGCTTGACAGAGACTTACTGGTACACCTACCACACTGAAGGCTTGACAGAGACTTACTGGTACACCTACCACACTGAAGGCTTGACAGAGACTTACTGGTACACCTACCACACTGAAGGCTTGACAGAGACTTACATGTACACCTACCACACTGAAGAACTTGAAAGAGACTTACATGTACACCTACCACACTGAAGAACTTGACAGAGACTTACTGGTACACCTACCACACTGAAGGCTAGACAGAGACTTACTGGTACACCTACCACACTGAAGGCTTGACAGAGACTTACAGGTACACCTACCACACTGAAGGCTTGACAGAGACTTACAGGTACACCTACCACACTGAAGAACTTAATGGAGACTTACCACATTGAAGACGGTGCTGAGAGAGCGTCCAACATAGTAGAAAGCCACTCCCACATACTTCAGACATAGATTATTGCATGTAATCATTGACACAAAGATAATGGACAATGGTAAAACCTGCAAAAATAAATAGATCAGTTCAGCAACAGATATATAACATAATTACATTATAATTCAGAAAAGATACTAAGATGCTGCATGGTATTTAAAACATTATTCCTCATTCAAATACTGTTAATATTACAACCAAAAATATATTTTAAGTGTATATTTGTATAGAACATATCTATCTGCTTGCCAACTTTTTGAAATTCCATGGGGAAATAGCATGTGCTCAGAATTAAAACTATAAATAAAATGTGGTTACCAGGTATGTACACCTCAGGGGAAAATAATACTTTTGAATGGCGATTTTTGAGCTGTTCTTTCATATGAAATCATCAGATCTTTGAAAATAGGAATAGTTTACAAATTCACTTGTTGAAAATGCTCAATTTCAGGGTCCAAAGTGGGGAGTCTCCCTCGATAATAGGGAGATTTGGCAAGTATGTGCTTGTTCTAAGCCTCAGTACGTTCAATGCAAGTTACTGGAAATAATACTTAAAATATTTTCAAAACAATCAAATGAGCTTGAAAAAAAATCCAACAAATGGGAAACACACTGGGCCATCTATTGTAACTTAGAATAAATAAAAATGGGCTGTTCAACAATAATAGTGGCCAATAGCCTCATAGTCCTCTCTTAAATGACCCATGATAATGTGGAATGGTCATATACTTTAACGTTAAATCCTCTAACAACATCCTAACTTACTGATCTGCTGAGTTTGAGGTCAATCTCCGTGGATGGGAATGAGATCATGGACGGGAAAAATTTGGCCAACACTCGTAGGATTATACACAGAAGAACGGTCACCACACACTGGTACCATGTCACAAACAAGGGCGCGTTCAGCTACAAACAGCATAAGGTCAACATCATTATATTAATCAATATCCTCATTCATATTGTCAGTAAGAGTAAAATACAACATTTCATACATTTTTAACTTTACCCTCCTTGTACAAGGCCCAATGAACCTATCAGGCTGTATGTATGTAATACACAAACTCTTTTACATATGAATGACAGAGTATTATATAATAAATACATGTATATCTATACATATATAATTATTATTATAAATTGTTATATTATTATCTAACTATTCTTTTTATTACCCTAAAGTCGTATATAAACAGTAGTTTTCTTTGAAAATATGATGTTATTGTTCTATTTTACTGTTGTAGATAATATAAATCCTTTGTTGTTATTTATCGCTAGGCAGGGCAGTTTTTTTGTACTTGAGGTATCTTTTGAACATTGTAAAATTTGCCGAGACTCCCCATTGTATGTTGTCTGGTCATCTCTTCCTTGAACAGTGGGACTGGGTACGTTTTGTAGGAGATCCATTAGTGTAAGACTTAAATATCTGTGTCCAAAAAACCACATCTATTGACATTACGTGTATTACCTTGAGTTCAGGGCTGCTGAGGAGGTACTTGTTGGTGAAAACCATTGTAATGGATATCATCCTGAAAAGAAGAGCAATCTGTCATTAGATACGAAAGATTAGACTTTCAAAAATAATACAAAAAAAAAAAAAATATTACTGATACTAAGTTAACACACAGATGTAATTTGTTTTTAAAAGCAAACTATTAAGATATTTTCGGGGTCTTATTTCTGTACCAAAAGCTTAAGAAGAATCCTGCACATTTTCTGGCCAAACAAAATAACTAATGTAGACCTACTTAGGCAGTGTAATCAGGAAAGTATGTCTACAATATTAATTAGAAGGCGTTGGAAATGGATTGGACATGTGATAAGAAGAGATAGGAATTCCTTCACCATAACAGCATTGCATTGGACTCCAGAAGGGAAGCGCAAGCGTGAAAGACCAACAAATACATGGAGACGTACTGTAGAAGGAGAGATGAAGACCATGAATAACACCTGGGGAACAATAGAAAAGATGGCCAAAGACAGACAGAAATGGAGGACCTTTGTTGCTGCCCTACATATGCCAACGGCATAATGGGCAGTAAGCAAGTAATTTCTGTATGTGTTCACTACTGTCATTGCCCTTTCTGTGTTTTGCCAGATGTCATAAATTTAGGGGTAGCAAATATCAACACTTCCTTTATGTCTGCAAGGAGCTCTCCGGAAATAAGGCAAAAAAAGTCAGTTCACTGTGCAGGATTTTTACTTAAATGCAGGTAGAAAAACACCTTTTTCACCAAGACCTTTTTAATAAATCGGAACTAAAAAGTTTTCAATGTGATTTTTGTATGACAAAATTTCTTGTCAATTAATTCTCAATATTATATGACTAGTCACATTGTTGAGTTCGTCTGGCTTCTACAAATACCATCCAAAAGCAATAATGTTCTCATGTTTTTTTAACTTCCTAATTTTTCATTCTCTTTAGTAACTGTATCCGGTATAAGTAACACATTTTGTTGTCATTCAAAATATTGCCGAAATAATTTTGTATACATTTTTTTATCTGTAACTCTGGACCATAGTGGTATCACAGTATTTTATATGTACTGTGTAAGCTATAAATAGATTGACAAAAAGTGGGCACACAGTGGAGGAATTTACTTTGTTGTCTTAGTCGTGAAGTGATTGCATTCGACTGAACAGCCAGTCAGGTTAGATTGAATACTAGCATTGGTGATAAGGATCTTGAACCACTTTTGCTGTTTAATTTTGCTCTATTTTGTCTGTTCTGAATTTAGCCCAAGGGCTCAGAACCAGGTCACTCATGCTAGATACTGTTGTCATAGATACTGTATTTTTACCTCGCAAACGTTAGCATACTACTTGATAGCTGAATGGGAATAAAAAAAGACAGTGAAGTAAGTGTTACTTTTGCTGTTAAACTAGCAACAGAGCAAAGTGGATGCATGAAAGGATAAAAATCCGGCCTAAACATCCTCTAAACACTGACAGTGACACGCTTAGTTAGTTTCATCCGAGTTATGGTATTTCCACGTGGTAATACGACCTTACCAATATGATGCAACAACGCCCGCAATTTTTGAATACTTTGAAAATAACGACTCCATTCTTGGATGTCTGTGATAAATCGTTACAGTCATTTAAAATAACAGTGTTCCCCCTTTGCCTTCCTTGATCTTGCCACGAAGTCGACACAGAAATCAGGATCAAACATGTGCTTTGTTTACAAGTTGACCTCGTGCCAGATAAGCGCTCTCCTGACGTTGATTCGGGTGTAACTAACTGCACCATATTCACTTTGGGCATGAGACGGGAAGTGGAGTTATACAGAGATAATAAGCCGATCAACTAATTGGACTCACATCATTTTTCAATCCTCCCTTCTTTTATTGCCTGGTCTTTTAACGTTAGTAATATTTGAAATCAACATCAAAATATGGAGCACTAAATATCTTAAAATTAACTGGGTAATGAGAGAGAAGGGGGGATGTTCAACAACCTTTCTGGTTCAAAAGAACGTATAACCTAGATACATATATATATGATAAGCCATTATGCATATGTGGTTATCTTATGATGTTATCTGGACATTCGTATCTATATGTGTGACTTTGGTTTATCCACAGGGGCACGCAACTTGCCTATTGGCATTGATCTTGTTAGACTTTCATTTGCTGGGTACGTTATCAGGTCCAGTACACTCTGCCGATTGAGCGGCCCCGATTGAGCTATATAGCTGTAAAGACATATAATAGCTCTATTGACCTATCTGAAATAGGTCTTTTGGGCTATTTTCAAATGATTTTCTTTTTTAAAGAAAACTTAACAATGTCGCTTTTAAAAGAAGATTGTATCATTAGGTTGATAACAAAAGACATTAAATATAAGTATTCTTTTTAAAAAATAATGATGTAAAAAAAATCGGAAATTTTACATTTATGAAAAATAGAAATAAACATCTAACTGTATGCTCTTTGTAGTCAACATTACCATAAACCTTATTGTTTTATGCGACTTTGCTTTAATTTAATGAAATTTGAATTCTGAGAAAATATAGCTCAATACAGCTATAATTTATAGGTGTATATAGCGATAAAGGTCTTTATAGCTATATAGATCACGGCAGAGTGTCCTGGACCTGGTTATAACATGCCCAGCGACTGAATAGTCTAACAAGATCAATATTGATACTAGTGGCGTGGCCTTGAGCCCCATGAAAGACAACGATAACAAATATATAAACAATATATATAAAACATGTAACAAACTCACATTATATACGAACACACATAATACTATGTGTGCAATGATTACAGCAGATACAGTAGTATATCCAAAATGATGGAGAAACTTAAATGGCAACCGCTATCAGAACGCAGACAAGACCAGCGTTTAGTATTACTCCACAAAATAGTTCACGGCCTCATGGCCATACCCGCTGACCCGCTATTCCAGTTAAATACCAGACCATCTAGAACACAGCACAGTAAATCCATCAAAGTGCTTTAAGTTGTAACACCGACATATATAAGAACTCATTTGTACCATCTACCATAAAAGACTGGAATGTGCTACCATCGCACATAATAATCAACTGTAAAACAACGGACAATTTAAGGCCACTGTTGTGACCAAAATTGACTAAGATTGATACAGCGCACTCTCTCACCCTGGATAAACTTTGCTCAGTAGTGAGCTAATTTCCAGTAAATAAACAGATACTAGACAAGCATTTCGTATGTTCGTTTATACAGTCTATTTGTATAGCAGAAATGATCGACTGGGTCTATTATTGTCTGTGGTCGGGCAGTTCAATTGGTACAACATCCGTCTAGAGTTTGAGAGGTCCTGAGTTTGAATCCTGGTCTAGCCATTAATTGCATTTGTTAGAAGCCCCAGTGCTGAAAGATGGTATACTATGATGCACCAAGCATGCTGCATTTAAATAAATTGATTTAATCTTTATGTTATTTCTTTACAATTATTTTATTTGTTTAAACCCCAAAACAATTAATGAAAATATATTCATTTTTGTATTGCCATTTCAAAATCATATTGCTAGACAAATATTACAACATTCATTGCTTATTAGTACATGTACTGCAATAATATTACCCACCCCTATGAGATAACCTATTATCTAAAGTGTATATACCTAGGTAATGCAGAGCTCTTTTACTGTAGCTGTTGAGAGGCATATACTGACCTTAAATCAAGAAACATGTTGCGATGCGAAACCACTGAAATTGTATTCAAATTCCATGGTAATATATTTTAGCAGATTATAAATAAGAAAACAATGCTTAACCCTAGATTGATAAATGAACTTTAGATGATGTGCCATTTTGAACACATTTTTGATGTTATATATTATATTCTCTAGACATGTTATGAATATTGAAACTGAAAAGTGTTATAATGGTATAACCTGTCGTAAGCTTTTTTATAACATTAATGTCACAAAACGACACTTCATATGTATTCATAACAGTCAAAAGTCCATTTTTCTGGTAAAGTATGTTACACAGGCATTTTATTATGATTTTTGTGCATTGCCATAGCAATCATCTTGCTTTGAGGCAGTATGCCTCTCCACTATAGCATCTTTAGTGGCTTGTTGATTAAGCCAGTGTATACCTACCAATAATATAGTGTATTAAAGAAAATATCTTTGACATTTTTAAGGTGACAATTAAAAAGATGCCCCTGGAACCACATATGTGGCAGTTCCCAAAGAAGCTAGACACAGTTTGGAGAATCAAGAGCCGAGTGACAATATCATCTGTTGGTCTTATTAGCAAGCTTGTCGTCGGTAAGTATTGCTTTCCTTGATGTTTCAAAGATCACCTATCTACATGATTATTTGAAACACAGACTGAGCTCATTAAGTAAACTCAGATTCAGGAAGTTTGGTTGCTGAAAGACAGTTTAATATGGAACCTTGCTCATTTGGATATGCACAGTATTTCATTATAAACATATGTTTTTTAATGACTATCTCTGTAACAAGAAAGTGAAAATACATTGGGGCCAGACCCTGCAACCTCTTGATAGACAATTTAATCAATTGAGCTACCTGGTATACGTAGCGAACATCACCTGGCCCAGTCCAATAACACACCTCTCTCCTTTTTCTTCTCCCTTTTTTCTTACAAACCAAGTGTGGGTACCCTCTTACCAAGGGTACCCTCAAAACTTGAAACAAGGCTTGGTCATAGGTACCACAATAATGGAGAGTATTCAAACACGGTACCTCCGAACGCTAGATGGACATGCACTCTAACCAATTGAGCTACCTGGCAGTCAGCCTGCTCTGTCCTGCTACATCTAAGTACATACCCAATCCATGAACATTTATTGAGGAGGAAAAGTGATTGTGTGCACACTGCAAAGGTGCTATGTCAGCCAGGGACACAAATCACAAAGGGACATGCACCTTATTGGTGATTTTAGTACCTTTTGAAAAAGGACCTTTGCCACAGACCATAGTTATGGTCAAAACACAATCAAAGTATTTGTCAATGTATTTAATACAAAACTTTGAAATAATTTGTATGTGGTGAAAATGGGGCATTAATGATGTTTAGAGTTTGTAGTGTCATTTTGTATTTGTATGTATATTTTTTCAATTTGTGTGATGTATGATAATTTTGGAAAATTGATAACTTATACTATATTCTCTGTTTACTGAGTTTAATGACGGTCTTGTTTAGCAAGTTTCAAATTAAGAAATTGGTTCTTTATAGCTAGGGTGAAAATACTATATTCTAGTGTTGTTTGAGATATAACCATTTTATTGTGGTGTAATGTGTAATTTTCCTTGTTTTCAGGATTTAATAATTTTAAGGTTGTGAACAAGCAAACTTTGATAAAGAATATTCAGTCAACTGGAAACGGTCGTGGACTCATAACAGTAACTAACCACCATAGCTGCCTGGACGACCCAACTTTGTGGGGTAAGAATTTTTATAATCTAAGGAATGGTTATGTATGTGTTGTCAACTTAACCAAAAAAAAGCTGTTATGACTAAAGAAAACGTGTAAAGACTTAGGGAAGCTTTTAAAGACTTAATCACTTGATGTATTTTATAATTTAATAAAGTCTTAATGGCCCCTCAACACAATCATACAGTGCGGGCCATATGGTAGAACAACTTGGGGTGTATGTCAAGTTAAGCTTAAGAAAATTTAGATGGACCGTGATATAACAATATATTAAAATCATTCAAGTGTGAAAGTCTGTGTCCAAGCAGTCCTCATGTGTTTTACGCAAATAACACATGAATGTCATGGTCAGAATCGTAAACTTTTTTGTTATACTGTCACTCTGTGATAACTGAAGCTCATAAAAAGTTTTTAAGAATACACATTTTGTCACTGTGTCACAAAAATATTTTCCCTCTGGGAATTTTATGTTGTACAGTATTGAATAAGATGTTAGTGTCACACCAGGATTACTTTTCTACTTACTGGACCATATCATAGGAATCAAAACATGTTTAATAACCAAGCTGTATGTGTTTCAGGTATACTTGGCTGGAAATTTGTGTTTGGGAAATTGGGGGAGAAGTTAAGGTGGACATTGACTGCCGACAATATCTGCTATACAAACACATTCAATGCCAAGTTTTTCTCCCTTGTCAAGGGTATCCCTGTTGTCAGGGGAGACGGTGTGTACCAGCGAGGCATGGATTACGCCATCGAAAAGTTAAATAATGGTGAATGGGTGAATATTTTTCCTGAAGGTAATTATCGAAGGAGTACATGCTTGTACAGTGTCCTTTTAAGGACAAGATATATATTCTAAATGCCAAGGAAAAGAATGCATGTTTAATATTATAATATTTACATTTGCTCGTCACATGAACAGTTGAGCCTCGATAATGCAGCCATTTATTTCAGGATTGAGTGGCTGGATTGTTAGGCGGCTTGGAGTGAGACAACTGAATTTGTGTTAACTGCCAGCTGGGTAGTGAAACGACTAGATTTGTGTTGATTGGGTGGTGAAACGACCAGATTTGTGTTGACCAGATAGTCTGACAGCTAGATTTGTGTTGACCAGATAGTCTGAAAGCTAGATTTGTGTTGGCTGGATAGTGAAAAGACTAGATTTATGTTGAATGGATAGTGAGACAACTGCGTTAGTGTTGGCTGGATTGTGAGACGATAAGATTAGTGTTACCGTAGTTGGATAATGAGACAACTAGATTTGTGTTGGCTGGGTAGTTAGATAGCTAGTTAGTGTTGGTTGGATGAGGAGACAACTGGATTTGTGTTGGCTGGATAGTGAGACAATGTGTTGGCTGGATAGATAGACAACTAAATTTGTGTTGGCTGGATAGTGAGACCTCTGGATTTGTGTTGGTTGGATAATGAGACAACTGGATTTGTGTTGACTGGATAGTGAGACGACTAGATTTGTGTTGGCTGGATAGTGAGACAACTAAATTTGTGTTGGCTGGATAGTGAGACAACTAGATTTGTGTTGGTTGGATAATGAGACAACTGAATTTGTGTTGGCTGGATAGTGAGACAACTAAATTTGTGTTGGCTGGATAGTGAGACAACTAGATTTGTGTTGGCTGGATAGTGAGACAACTAGATTAGTGTTGGCTGGATAGTGAGACCACTAGAATTGTGTTGGCTAGATAGTGAGACAACTAGTTAGTGTTGGTTTGTTAATGAGACAACTAGATTTGTGTTGGCTGGATAGTGAGACAACTAGATTTGTGTTGGCTGGATAGTGAGACAACTAGATTTGAGTTGGCTTGATAATGAGACAACTAGTTAGTGTTGGTTTGATACTGAGACAACTAGATTTGTGTTGGCTGGATAGTGAGACAACTAAATTTGTGTTGGTTTGACAATGAGACAACTAGATTTGTGTTGGTTTGACAATGAGACAACTAGATTAGTGTTGGCTGGATAGTGAGACAACTAGTTAGTGTTGGTTTGAAAATGAGACCACTAGATTAGTGATGGCTGGATAGTGAGACAACTAGATTTGTGTTGGCTGGGTAGTAAAACAGCTAAATTAATGTTGGTTGGATAGTGGAACAACCAGAGCTAGTGCTTGCTTGGTAGTGAGACACATAGATAAGTGTTGGCTTGTTTTAGAAGTCTGTATTGCATTTGAACCTACAAAATTGACACCGTCAGTTACAACTGTAGTATGAAGACAAAAATTGACAAGTAATCTGTTTAGAATAATTGTGATGTAATTTCATTGCGTTGTTAGAGATTCATTGCTTGCTGGATTTAGAAAATAAAACATCCTTCTCATAAATTTTCTTGCACAATGTGATTTCTTTGTTTCAATATAAAACATTGTACAATTTATTATTGAACTTTTGCAACATTATAGTAATGTGGAGGAGTTGTGGATGGGAGACAAGGGATATTTTCAGACCATACACTTTCTTTCTTTTCATCGCTATTTGAGGAAATTGCAAAGTACAAACACAAAGTGAATGCTACTGTTTTACTGCCAAGCCACTATGAACTGATGCTGTTCTTATACACTGACATGTCATTATGTCAGTTCAAATCAACTAAGAACCAGTTCATTCGTCAATTACGATAAAATACAATAGACATCAATTAAATTAAAAGTTTTGTTTTGAACAAAATTCCCAACCTACCAATGATTTAAGCCAAACTGAAACATATTTCTCTATAAATAAGCTAGCCCTCAGCAGGTGTTCATAATGATGATCACTAATATATAATGATTACTGGTATATATTTTTTCAGCAAGAGTCAATCAAACACAAGAGTTAATCCGATACAAATGGGGTAAGTTTATCATATTTCTGTTTTCTACAACTTTCATTGCTGGTTTCAGTATGTACTACTGTTTCAAAGACATGGATCAAAATATGTGAATTTCTGGCAGAATAGGAACAGTCCTCTGTGTTTATAATGAAATAAAGGTAGATATATTTCTTTACAGGTGTTGGGAGGATGATCACAGAAGCTAAAGAATTACCAGTTGTCGTACCTTTCTTCCACCTCGGTAGGTGATGTAATCTATTTACCACATCATGGTGGGATATAAACATATATAATTAAATAGATATATACTATAGAGGATGTTCAACAAATGATGATTTGTTATGATTTACATCCATTCCAATGAGTTTATTCTCAGGCATCCCCTCCCCTCCACTCTACTTATGACTAAAATTGACCAGTCAAACTGCAGCTGTCATATTCAATATCTGGCAATAGGCCAACGCCTGGTGATAAATCTGGAGCCATATCTCTATTGTGAGTCAGAGACGATGTCTCCCCTAATTATTACTATAATAATAATCATTTGAGGTTCTTGTATAACGCTTTATCACAATCTAGTTCGTAGATCGTCTCAATTCAGTTCACAAATTATTATCCATGGTAATAGGGCCTTTGCAACCAGCCAATATCTTTCCTAACTGAACTTACTCCCAGGGGAGCATACAGCCAGAGCTGACATTTCAGCGATAACAGCTAGCATTCAACAAATCTAGCACTGCCCAACCACATACTCATTTACAGCTGAGTAGGCTGGAACAAGCGGAGTAAAGTATCTTGCTCAAGGATACAATACAGTGCCATGCCGTGACTCAAACCTGCAACCCTTCGGTCACGAGCCCGGCGTCCTACCACTAGACTACTGACTTAATGTTTTATTATATACATATGTACACAGTAGCCTGCAAGAATGATACTGTGCCACATTGATAGATTGTACTGTAGTTTACTGACACAACCTGGTGTAGTTTGTGTATACAGAGAAGCATTTGTCATACACAATTTCTTAAAGCGAGTCCTCCTATCTAAGCCTCTTTTCAACATTTTGATGAGTTCCATTACCAAAATATATGGTGGGTCCACAAAAGAGTTGAGTCCTCCACAAAAAAGGTACGAGTCCAAGACTCAAATATTTAAGTCCCAAAAATTACTGAAAACAATATTACCTGTATGGTTACATGTTTTATATTACTATATGAAGATGCTAATTGCAGTAATAGTTCTCGAATTTATCTATTTTTGTATACAATTTTCAAATGAAGTGAAATACATATACATGTACTCATTGGTGGTCTTAAACTTTGATAAAAAGTTCCATGTACACAGAAACCAAAATGTCCAGTTTACCAAGATTCCTGTTACCTGTTTGAGAGTCTTTTCTTGTAAAAATGAATAAATTGACATGAATTAACATGAATTAACATTTAATCTGTGACAGGTTTTACAAAGTGATCAATACTCTTTATGAATTTTAACATTTGTGATCTATGTCATGTTCATCTAGGTATGGACAGTGTATCGCCCAATGAAGGAAGATTCAAATATTTCCCAAGGATCTGCAAGGTAGGTCGACTCCTCCCATTCACCCTTTGAGTACTTGTACATACCTTTATCTAAGCCATGTGGTTCAGATTTAGCATCTGTAGCAGTGTTCTTCTGATTGGTTCGATATTCTGCCGTCTGAATAAACTCTTTATGGCCAAATGTAGAACAGTAGTTAAATGACCTTCATGCAGTGTTACGATACCACAATTATAATTCATTGTAAGGAATAGGTTACTAAATACAGTAAATATTTCTTTGTAGATAAATATGTTTGAAAACACATTTTAAGCTCTACCTTTTGCAAATAATGTATTAAAATCATTCAAGAAGGGAAAGTCATTTTGTTTTCTTGAAAAGATGATATACTGTGAAATCAGATATATTTTCGTGGGGCCCAAATTTTGTGGGTACCTGACAAAACACCATTTTCTGGGTACATGAATTGTGGATTACGAGTACCCACCCAAACGGAGAATTGCCTTATGTTAAACTTGTAATTACTTCATGTAGCTATAAATTTGTGGATGAAAATAACGAACGAATTCAACAAAATTTTAAAAAAAAACACAAAATTAGTGATTTCACAGTACCAGGTACTGTATAACACAAATTGTTTGTTGGTACCTTCCTTCACGGTTTGAAGCTATTTAGATCGTGTTGTGGTACAAACTTTTGTGGATATCCTATATTAACAAACAGTAGACACGTATATCATTCAAATTCGTTGTATTTATTTTCGTAGTTCAATAACAACTAGGAAAACCATGAATGTTTTTACACAACGAACATTTCACGTTATACAGTATACAATCTAGGGTTAACTACTCAGGTCACTGTTATGACGTACTGTGTGTAATCTGTGTGTACTGTGTGTACTATGTGTGTACTCCATGTGTACTGTGTGTACTCTGTGTGTACTGTGTGTGTACTCGGTGTTCTACTGTTTGTTTATGTTTTCTCCCCAGAAAGTGACTATGGTGATTGGTGATGCCATCAACTTTTCTGACATAGTCAGTCAGAAGGATAAACTCTCACCGGTAAGAATTGTTTTGTTTCCCTTAAACAGTTAAATAAGGCTTTCTTACATACCTCTAAAACGTATGTGTTGTCAGTATCCACTAAACATTATCTCACATTCCTCTCACAAGGAAGTGTTGTCAGTATCCTCTAAACATTATCTCACATTCCTCTCACAAGGAAGTGTTGTCAGTATCCTCTGAACATTATCTCACATTCCTCTCACAAGGAAGTGTTGTCAGTATCCTCTGACAAAGGTCAACAAAAATAGTGGCCGGTTTAGTCCCAAGCCCCCAGGGGCCTGAGGGGTGGGGCCAAAAAGGGTTGAATTGACTGAAATTTCAAAAATCTTCTTCTCAAGACCCAGATATGGTAGAATCAAATGCTCTTCATAGACGGAAGGGTCTTAAGGTGCTTTACCGAAATTGTGAATTTCATGACCCTGGGGTCTCACATTTCCACCTGGGGAAGGGGTAAACTTTACTATAGTTTATATAGGGATATCACATTTTGGACCAACATTTGTTTAATTTCCATTGGAAGTAATTCAATTTGGGTTAGCATTATCAGTATTAGGTAGCAGTTTGATAGTATGTACCNTAGGGTCTCATGTTTACCCCCTGGGGAAGGAGGGGGGGGGGGCAAAATTTATTATGGTTTATAATGGCAAATGATACTTTGAATATTACATGTTAATAACTTGATTGGAATTATAACCTTGAGTTGACAGTTTGATACTTTGAAAATTTTGAGCCAGCCCTACCCCCAAGGGCAGTAGAGTGGGGCTCAAAGGAGTCAGTGTGCTAAAATTTCTTTATTTTCCTTGTTTAGAATCAGAGGTGCTAGTTTCAAATACTTTTTAGTCTGAAATCTGTATGCTAGATATTGAACAAGGTGGTTTTATTGTTTTTTGTCACTTTGAATAATATTTCTGTTCATGTTAAAAACGAAATCAACTCTCTGTATAAATAAATCAGGTTACTGCTTAGGCCCATGGGCCTCTTGTTTTATATTAACATGTACAAGGTATAGATAATATTTTTGTTTTCACTTAAGGTGGAATATAGAAAGAAGGTGACTGATCTAATACAGGAGAAAATGGCAGAACTTCAAGTGACAGCTGAGCAAATACACAACCCAGCAGTTTCCTAACGCCGACCCTTATCCTCCACCAAGTGACTGTTGTATCTCAGGACTCAATACCATATAAGGACTGGACACGATGGACGACAAACATTCTCTCATAGCTGTGAGCATAGGATATCTCGATCTCTCATAGCTGTGGGCGTAGGATATCTGTCTCTCATAACTGTGGGCGTAGGATATCTCGATCTCTCATAGCTGTGGGCGTAGGATATCTCTATCTTTCATAGCTGTGGGCATAGGATATATCTGTCTCTCATAACTGTGGGCGTAGGATATCTCAATCTCTCATAGCTGTGGGCATAGGATATCTGTCTCTCATAACTGTGGGTGTAGGATATCTCTATCTCTCATAGCTGTGGGTGTAGGATATCTCCCTCTCTCATAGCTGTGGGTGTAGGATATCTGTCTCTCATAGCTGTGGTTGAAGGATATCTGTCTTTCATAGCTGTGGGTGTAGGATATCTGTCTCTCATAACTGTGGGTGTAGGATATCTGTCTATCATAGCTGTGGTTGAAGGATATCTGTCTCTCATAGCTGTGGGTGTAGGATTTGTCTATTTCTCATAGCTGTGGGTGTAGGATATCTGTCTCTCATAGCTGTGATTGAAGGATATCTGTCTCTCATAGCTGTGGGTGTAGAATATCTGTCTTTCATAGCTGTGGGTGTAGGATATCTGTCTCTCATAGCTGTGGGTGTAGGATTTGTCTATCTCTCATAGCTGTGGGCGTAGAATGGAGCTAACACTTGGAAGTCAGATGTCACACAGAGATGTATGATAATTCCTTCCTCAATGAGCTTGACAGTTATTGTGACATCACTGGGGAACATGGTGTGTTATTTCATAATCAGATTATTTCATATTACTGCAGGGAAGCTGGCAATTTTAAATATGAAACGATTTGTCTAAATATCATTTTAAGACCTAGGAGAAAAGGTGTCTGTTAGTATGTGGAGGATATAGAAATTCTTACCAAATGAGTGAGACCCCCACCACCCAGAAATGCTACACTCTTGGTAGTACGTGTATTTCTATCCCTCCACTACTATATATGAAGTGTAGGACATCAAGCACACATTATTATTCTCCTTGTTTTATTATTTTATAATAATAATAAAGATTTGTGTACAGTATTTGGTAATTGTGTGCTTGAAAACCATTTTTTTTTGGTTTCTTTAAAGCCTTGTTCAGTGTTGTATTATTTTAGAGTGGAAGTTGTCAAGAATTGTTAAATAATTGCTAAAGAAACACTTATTTACAGTAGCGAAACTTACCAAAAAGAAGTAATTCATTTGCTTAACTGTGCCCTTCAGCATGTAGCTTGGTTGTGCTATATTTGAGAAGTCATAGAATGAAGCAGAGAATTCTATACATGTTCTCTCAGCTGAAGTAGACTATTTTCTCAAACCTCATCTTGTCTTTGAGCTGGTGGTGATGAAGGATTCCACATACACTTGTATTGTAATTGGGCAAGATTTTATTTTTGAACTATGCATCAACACATACAAGGATGTTGCTATATCTTCAGAAACAGTTCTTAGATTTTTATTTACGGCATTTGAAAGTAACGGAAGAAAAATGAAGATGTCAAATTTGTCTAGCATTTAACTCATTCTGCCAATGTGTGATATTAATCTTGGTCTGCAAGCCCACAACTGATGTACAAACATGTAACAGACATACAGGCAGAACACAACAGATGTACAATAATGTAGTTACAAGACGGAGCATATTTACTTCAATAAAACAGCTATGTAAATTAATAAGTATACCTGTGTGTTTACCTGGCTAGCCATTGTTACACTAGGGTTACTATATTTATACTAGTATTATGTGTGAGGTTTAAATTATCAGGGATAGGAGGGTAAAGGGAGATAACTTTATACCACCAGTGTGTGCGCGTATTTCACCTGTGCTATGTATGATGTAAAAGCATTGGCTTTTCTTTATCTTATCAGTTGAAACCAAAAGGCGCAGGTGTAAATTTATCACATTTTTTGTAAATTTGTTTGTGCACTTCTATAGTTATGTATCAACTCATAATCTAGACAAAAAGGAGAGTCAATCTTTCAATTTGCAATGGCATCTCAGTTTGTATACATCAGCTTTAAATCCCACATCATTTCCAGCAAATCAGTGTGTATTTTTGTCTGTGTAATCAGTTCATGAAAAAAACAGTCTTTAATTTTACATACTTCCCCCCTTTTGTTGACGATATGATAGGTAAAGTCACATTCCAGACTATACAGAATGTGGTTATAATCTAAGTGTGCTCAGAGCTGTGTTGTGGAGTGTATGAAATATTGCTGAATGTAAATAACTTTATGATGTAGTGTATGTGTGGATGAGGTGAAATATGATAAGTTTTCATGGACATGTTTAAGTGACTTATATGTACAAAGTGTATATAGTTTCTGTTTTATGTAGTGTTATTTTTGTGTTTTCACATGTAGTGGAGCTGGACTGGACTAATAATCTTTGGCAACCAGGTAGCTCAATTGGTAGAGCATCCCTCAAGAGTTCGGAGGGTCCTGGGTTAGAATCCCGGTCTGGCCGTTGCATTTCTCTTTCTTCTGTTATACATGAATGAATCTAAGTGCTGTGTTGAATTTGATATTTTAAGATTTTTTGGTGTGTATTACTTTTCTAGAAATGTTTGCTGAATTAACGAAAATGATAACGTTGTGAGAAGTACCTTATATAGTGTACTAGAGTAAATACATGTAAATAATGTTACAAGACCTAACAGGCAGAGTTCGTGATAGAATCCTGTACTTAGTCAGGTTGAACTGTATAGATGACAGAATATCACACACGTCAAGATTTTTGAATTTTCTATTTTCCTTTATACATTTGTATTATATTGAAAAAAAATCTCAAGGCTATCCAATTTTACAGCATTATATGTATCAGTCTTTGTTTCTCACTTACTTGTAATCATTTTCTTTCTATTTTGGCAGTGACTTTGAAGTTATATTTTGTTTCCCAATCGTCAGATACAGAGCACCAAACAGTCAGTGCTGAAATTTTACACCAATATTCAAGCATATTCCTTCGGCAGGCTGAGCTTATGACTTTGTGTAATGCAAAATGCATCTTTAGATTTTTTACCAAAGTCAATTAATAAAAAAATATTTGTAAGTTTTAAAACGCAGCTTCATGTACGATCAAACTGAATTGTCTATATGTATAGGTTTTGCCTACTTATATATAATGTACATTACACTCTCTGAGCATCAGTCTGCATTTGTTTTGTAACAGGATTGGGGGTTTATAGTAATAACCAACTCTGGAAGAGAATGAGGCCTTGATAAATTGTGAACATAGAATTCATTATTCAGTATTTTTTACTCAATGAATTAAGATATCATGTCTATTGATTTTACCCAATAAAGATATCATATCTATGTTTTGTTTCTGTTCTGAATGCTGAAGTTGCTTTTGATAAACGGCAGATTCTTTGAGGGGTGGGTATATTTGAACAAATATACGTGAGCAATGTATGGAACTCTCATGGCCCTCAACTTAGTTCAAGGTCACAATAATGCAATGCGTCCAAGTTAAAATTAATATTTTTGTGCCAGGAACCAAATTTCAATAATGAATTATTTTAAATTATTACCAAAAAGAAGATGCCTGAAATTCAAAGATTATGAAGCTGTTTGTGACATTGTAGATCTCGCAAAAAGAGTTCCACTGACTCAGAAACCTTCACATAACTTTCTGTACCCCAGAAATGAAGGTTAAAGCGAGACTTCAGTGGTCGACAAGTCAGTTCTTGCCATTTTTTTTACAGAAATTAAGATCTATGAAAGCTTAACGATCAAATGGTGTATCACGTACATTTTACCGACCAGCTCTAGATCCAGGACTGGATATGTATTGATGAAACTTTATATGTAGATGTATTATTACTAGGCAATTGGGTCAAGTCAGGGTACATGTCTTAATAATGATAATAATAATTAGAGGTTCTTATATACCGCTTTATCACAACCTAGTTAGTAGGTCGTCTCAAAGCGGTTCACAAAATTATTATCCGTAGTTATAGGGCCTTTCCAACCAGCCAATATCTTTCTCAACTCCATGGGGAGCTCACAGCCGGTACTGCCATTTCAGCGCTCACAGCTAGCACTCAACAAATCTAGCACTGCCAAACCACATACTCATTTACAGCTGGGTCGACTGGAACAAGCAGAGTACAGTTTCTTGCTTCAAGATACAACACAGTGCCGTGACTCAAACCCGCAACCCTGCGGTCACGAGCCCGGCGTCCTACCACTTGACTACTGTGCCTCTTTGTACATGTTAAAAAACATGTTTAACACAGGAACTCAGACCTGACTGTCAAACAGAATTTCTCATGTTCAGGTCCTCAGTGTAAGAGCTGTCACCTAGTCAAGTGTTCGTTGAAGAAAGAAAAACTGTCATATGGTCAAGAATTCAATTAAGTGTTTAGCAAAATAAAAACTGTTATCCAGTCTTGTATTCAATGTGAAAAAACTCACAAGTTTTACTTTTACTTAGTCAATAATTCACCACATGAACTGTCTATTGTCTGATCAAATATTCTGTGTTCAATTTCGCTAGCTCTAGTATTCATTGTTATAAGGTTCCCAGTATCGCTCACCTAACTTAGATACCCAAAAAATAACGGGTTAAATTTAAAAATATATATTAAGTAATATTGCAAATATTTGGAACTCCCTTTTAGGCTCAGACTCTTGGCAATCAACAGGACAACACATGTAAATGTATGTGTTTATGGTATCGGTTATAGGATGGGGGGGTCTCGATCATTTCCATATTGAATTTACGACCCTGGAACAACAGGGTTCAATTCTGGAAGCATGAGCATAAGGTCTCTTCATAGCCTAGGAATATTATGGATGATCTCAATCATTTCCTAATTTCATAATATAATCCAAGATAGTGCCCAAGGGCAGATGGGTTAGCATAAGTAGTGTTGAATAGTATTGAATCTAGTAGCATATTCAAGGGATATCAACTAACCTCTGTGATATATGTCATTTATTTGAATAGAAAAAACTAGCAATCCAACCAGGTACCTACTGCAAAATATATAACTTTAACACATTAATTTTTATAAGAAAGAAAACTGCTACCAATTAAAAGAATTAAATTAGGTTACACTGAAATGCATAGCCCTACTAAACTCTGATAATTCTCCTTTTTTTTCCCCTTTTTACTCTCCCAAGGGAGAGTGGGCCGTTCCCGGAGGTACTGCAATACCGGGCCAACCCGTGGCAAGAGCGGAGCAAGCCCCTGACATCTCACCTAAGTCCAAAAATCAGTTTAATATCGAAGTACCCCGGTGGGGTACGTATCAGATATGAAGCTGATAAGAACAGATACTACACTTTGATCTTAGCCAAAAGGCCGAGAAGCGATACCGTGTAAAGTTAATAATATAGTATATAGTAAAAACAGAGTAATCTTATCTGGTTAAAATTAAATTAGAATAACAGAAAATATATGTTTTTAAATTTTGTAAACTATTCATTATAAAATTGTTATCTTCATCAAAAATATTTCTTATATTATATACTAAAATACCACCAGTTTAAATAATATCTAAATTAAGCAATTTCATTAGAATTGTAATAAATATTTCTATTTTCATTATTACGCTTCCTCGGCCGTTCTCCAGTTACCTCCCTTAGACATTTCGTTGCTAAATTATCAACTTATTCAAGGCTTAACCCATTTATTAGAGGACCCTGTGGAAGATTAGCTTTGCTAAACAGGGTTTTTATCCTCAATAAATAAAGTTTATTATTATTATAATCATTATAACCCCGGCTGATGTTACACCGTGACGAAACTAACTCGCATACATCAGAGATGTGTATACACCAGTGATGGTAGTTTGTGCATGTTACTGGTCAGATAAAAATATCAGGCAACTGTTAAAAGAAGTCGTATTTTATGAAATATAAGCTGTATCAAAGTCTCGCTATAAACGTTTTGTTACTGTATATTGAGATCTATGTCTTTTACTTCACAATGAGTTATAATCTCATTTCATTATATAATATATAGTACTCGTTCTACCCAGAGACGTATATATAACACATATGGCTTTATACGTCTCTGTTCTACCTTCATGTTGAGGTTGTATGATTGACTTTGAAGTTTTGTTATTTCCTAGGGTTAGATTAAGGCTTTATTTGTATTATTTCATAAACAACTAAATTATGCAACTAAATTATGCTTCATAACAGTCCGCTAAGTTACCTTAGGAAAACCTTAAAGCTTTCCCAAACTTATGACAATTTCATAATTTGTAAATATTATGTATGGAATTAAAGCTATTGCATATGTTCTCGGCCATTGTACAAGCTATTTGTAAAGTATTTATCTATATGTATATTTCTGTACGCCTATATGCAATGTGCATTTGGTAATACATTGAATTGAATTGAATTGAATTAACATGGGCCGTGATCACTTTTAGCTCACATGGATTGAAAAGATAGCTTGGATAAATATAGATGTTCAATGATTTTTATGATAGTTATAAGATACTTATAACATCTTGGAATTTTGATTCATTAACTGATTAATTAGCTGTTAAACACCACACTCTTAGTCACACATTACATTCTTACATTTTGTACAAGGTAATGTAGGCATCTTATTAAATGTTACAATTATAAAGATTATTTAATAACCATTTATATTAATATTTTTTAAGTACTAGAAAATGAAATAACACATTTCATCTTATCATATCAGCAGCACAAGTACTACAAAATGGATATATTTAATACTGAATATATATATATTTATATATATGATTAATATCTAAATAATTTAAATTTTAACATTTGTCATCACAAATCTGAAAAAACTTATATAATGATTTTATTAAATTAAATATGATAAAACACCACCTTAGATAGAAGGGTTAACCACAGGTAAACACAGGTAAACACACAGGTAAATACTGCCCATACTACTTAGAAACAGACTATAATCCTTCTAACAACATTATTCCGCCCATGTTATTTTAAAAAGTGGGGGAAACGAGAACAAGCCATCCAATGTAATTTGAACTGACACCTGAACGTTCATCAATGTAAAATTGTCAAATCAGAGACGTATAACACGTATGAAATAATGTATTATACGTCTCTGGTCAAATACGTAACAATCGAACTGTCCGCCCTGTTTAGTACTAGCCAATAAAAACTGTCACCTGGTCGAGTGTAATTTCAAATAAAAACTGTCACCTGGACAAATATTCGATATAAAAAGCTACTGTCAGCTGATCAAGTATTCAATATAGCAACGAACATCACATGGTTCCAGTTAACCACATACCGTGACGTATTTCACGGAACTTAATCCGTGATTAATGTTCCATATGAAAGTATTGATTACTGATGTTATTTAAAATTATAAAGCTTTCATTAACTCCATAATGCTTCCATATTGTAAACAAAAATAAAAAAATAAGTAATTCCATTATGTAAGGATAATAGTAAAAAAAAACTTGATCGATATAGAAAATATCACTGGTCATAACTGTTCACATGAACTGACTGTTAACTCAATTTAAGGTAAAAATTAGGATCATGTGTTTTTTTCAATACCTTGTTTTCATTCAGTTGTAATACATGTCTGTTACATAGATAGTGACATCTGGCCAAGAATAAATGAATCAATAAGGAACAGTGTTGAATGTACGCAGTTTTGTATTTGCTAGCGAACTATGATTAACTGGCACGGTTCATAAATTTAAAATGTATCTACTCCTGTAATATAATTCAGGGGGTTTAAGCAGCTCTCCTCCTGTTTTAACTGTAGTTTTGGGATTTCCGTCATTTTGGCCCCTAACGTTACCAACGAGTCCCAGTAGGACGAAACAGATCCATATGTTGTAGTGTAATTGATGTCTGGCCTATCACATTGTATAGGTGCAATCCACATGTGTGTGTGTCTTACGTCCATCATGGTGATACCCCTCGTGGCAACGTAGGTACGAATGGTTCTGTCATTATCCACACGTATTTAAAGTGGCGCATTGTGTTACAAATATAAATAACACCAAACGTTTCCTAAATAGATTTGTGTAAGTGTGCCCTTGTTGTATCTCCGTGTCTGTCCGGTCATGTGGAACAGCTCGGGCAACAAAGTGCTCGGCCCCGTCCTATTTCGGTAGTATGACGTACACATCAAACTCACACAAAGATTATATCTCTACAACCCCCTTTTTACTTATCCACTACCTCTAGTAATGTCCGAATTAATTACGACTGATCCAATCAAATAACGGTATTCTGATGACCGCGATACCAAACAACGTCACATCTAGGTGTACTCGGTAATAGGTGGGCATGACACCCGATACTACTATCTCGCAACGTACGTTGTGCCCCCAACACGCACAAGGTTCAAAATGTTGCCAAATGTATACTTGTGGAAGATATCATTTTTGTTTGAAGACGAGATTAAGAAGTAATCGGGTATTGAATTCAAAATCAATTAAGCCTACAAACGAAATACAATATATCTCTTTGTCTTTTATGATATTGTACCTTGATATTCTAATAACTCTATCAGTGTAGAACGGTAGCCCCAGTCGAACACACCTGTAACTCAGCATGCCACTAAAACACCGTACTCGTTAGGACATTGATGTGAAAACTATGACGACCAAGTCGCAAGGTCAGCCACCGTCCCGGCCAAGACAAAAAGGCCAAACGACATGTCTGCATCACCAAAGCAAAGAGCTGACGCTGTTCTGTGTTACGTGTGGGGAGCTGGTGTGCGCAAAATGCGTCACGTCCGTCCATCAGAGTCATACCATTGAAGAGCTGGGTAACATTGTTCCTGGAAAGCGTGAAGAACTCCAAGCATACATCGACACCACAGGGAACATCCAGCTTCTCCAACTTAAAAAGGATATAGCAGCAGCCGAAGAAGAGCTGAAGAGGAACGCCAGCCGTTTCAAGGATCTTGCCGCTCAAGCTAAGGAGCAGGGAGAGAGGCTTAAGACGGAAATCGATATCCTTGTGACAACCTCTGTGGCTCAATGTAAGCAGATTGAGGACAAAAACGCCAAGCTGATCACGACGTATAAAAAAGAGCTACAAACGAGACACGATGTGCTCAATAAGCAATTGCAGGACCAGAAGAAATTGATGCAAAAGGCGTCCGATATCCAGATTTACGATGCGGAAGTGGATACCTTTGCAAACAGCCCACTTCCGCCCAGTCCAGATTTACATGTCAGCAACTTTATGCCGAACAAAAGTCCGAGGAATTTCCTTGAGCAAGCGCTCGGAACACTGGAGACGATTGATACCAAGGAGAAAGAACCGGAAATTCAACCCCAACAGAAGCCTCAAAGGAAACAGACTAAAGCCAAACATCCACTAGGACGTCTGTCCAAGAGCCAGCCCTCTGTATACAGGCTACCGTCTGTTTCCGAACATGGTCGATCAAGTGGTATGTCTTTCATAAAGAAACCGTTGAAATTACAACATGAAGAGTCAATTGAGATGAACCCCCCTCCAAGATACCAACTGAAGCAGGAGCCTACAGTTTTGTCCGAATTCACATCACCATGCAAGGTGAGTGCCATCTGCTGTACACCGGGAGGAGACGCATGGGTATGTTTTGAGGACACCAAGACCATCACTCTTATGGGACAGTCCGGCGACGTAAGAAAGCAGATTCAGTACCAGGTGCGTCTTTGTGACGTCAAGATTTCTCCCATCACACACAATCTCTGGGCGTGCTCAAATGCCGACAAGAGCATCATTGAGTGGCAAGCTTCAGGTTTACCCGTCATCAAATTCCAGACCGAGCTAGCTCCAAGGTGCATGTGTCTCTCCCAACATTCAGGCTTCGTTGTGCTTGGAATGTCCAAGGAAGTCGCCATATTTACAAGTACCGGAAGGATGATCAGTTCTTCCCGGACTGTAATGTCTGGATCAGGCGTGTCATCACCTAAACGGATCTCAGAGTGTCCCGTTACAGGCAACCTCGCCATCGTGGACCAAGATCGCATCGCAGACGGAGGCCAGAACAAGCGTCACATTGTGATTGCCGACAACAAACTAAGAAAACTTAACCACTTCAGGGGCGAAATCAGCGCCGACGTCGTTGTTCAGCGACCATTCAACCCGTCAGACGTGATTTATGACGCAAAGGGTAATATTGTGGTCGGTGACTGCACGAACAAGTCCATCACACTGCTCAGCGGGAGTGCAGAGTTCATCGGTATCTTGGACTTGGGCACGTGCTACACGGTGGCTGTGGGCTTGCACGCGGACACGGTATGGGGCGTGTACCGTATGAACAGTACATATGACGTAAAAATACTTCAATACGCCACAACGCATGACGAAGAAGAGGGAAATGAAAAAGAGGAGGACACATCAAACCCGATCTAAGTGCATTTCATAGTAACTACATGGTATACACGTTGTGTCCTCTTGGCGGGAAAGTGCTCTTTTCTGCTTCCCGGAAAATATTGTTCGGATTCTTTTTATTAGTTGTTGCTGATAAGTTTTCCATAAAGTGTACACAAATGAACAACTGCAACGATGATGATTAGTAGATTTTGTATATGAACCCAGATAATATATGTACCGCATCAGTTAATCAGAAACGACATGGAATCATTTTCGTTCGGCGTGAATCTTGTGTCAGGCCCCTGTGTTCCCGAATGGATGTTTTACAGTGTGCTTTGGAAAACAATTTATGCAGATATTACGTCTTATCCCTGTACCCATATGTTTTGATTTGAATAGGTCATCGTTATTTTTTTGCAGATTCACAAAGAAAATCCGATATGATTTTCAGTTTGGATATTTCACAGAGATAATTTCGTTGGTGACCTTCAGTGCGGAACTGATTCGTAACGTGCATACAGGTTATAGGCAGTTGGGTAAAAATAGTGTTTTTCCGGTTTTTTATTTCTTTTATATTAAGTTGTTGAGAACATTTCTGTGAATCGATTCGAAATAAACGCGTAGATTGGAGAAAACTTTGAGAGAGAAGATAAAGTTATTTGTTTCTTTTATTTAGAGTGATTTACGGGTTTACGTGAATATATATGAAAAACATAAATTACCAAATTATAAGGAGAGTTTGTCTTTCAATCTTCTTTTTTCACTTGTTTTCCGCCAAATTTTAATTGATGTCCTAAATATCTGTTTTAATGTGTATTTTGCAATTTAGGTTAACATCAAATCATATCTTGTTTTCAACACATAACTAGTACACCCATACGTCATTCTTTTTTGTACTTTGGCTCAATATACACTTTATTCATACACAGGCGCGACAGGACAGCCATGAAACATGTTAACTTTAATCAGATTTGTTTTACAATCCGAAAAAAATAAACTTGTTTTCAATCTATGCAAACATTGGATATCGTTTATGCATTCAGGGCAATGTGAGTCATAGAACATATGACCTATGCTCAAGAAAATTTGTTTTCAAAATATATAAAATGTAGATATATAGATATATTTTTTTTTATCGTGGGATCATATATTTTTTTATACGTACAGGACAGTTTAGTAATTAATGATCGCATTCCATCTATGTACAAGGCAGTCATGGAACACTGTCAAATTATAAACTAAATCGACTTCTTATTGTGTATTATAATATGTATAATACACGACCCCGTTTTAGTTACCGGTGTTATTGTTGACGGGCACCTATCACATACCGACTAATTATATCGGCGTCAAATTACGGTAAAACGGGACATTGATAAGCTAAGATGGTGTCTTCTTGGCAGGACAGGATTGAAACATATCGTCAAATACAATAGCGTTGACTATGATCATATAACTTAAATTGTATGTCATTATAAAGTGAAGATGTTAATACGTTTACCTGGCCTTTGTATTCATTATAAATAACTGTTTAAGCTCGAATGATATGTAAATGCTGGAAAGCGTACGACTAGGCACAGTGCATATAGAGGTGCGGCACAGGAACCTGATCATTTGTTACAGCTATATTTGGACCTAAACTAAGGAGTAATTTTACATGTTTTAGGGATTTAGATAGCCGTAGTTTAAGTCCAAGAAATATAGCTGTAACAAATTCCAAGGTCCCTGTGGGATGTGGCATCAATCCCCGATCTCATGGTCCGTATGTGCCACGCCCCTGTGGTTCCGTATTTAAGTCTTTCCTAATTTGAAACCAGAACCACCTGAACGGTACCAAGCGTGAACAGTCTACCGGCAAAATTTACTGAGTCTGAATATTGAAGTTACAGGCCCTACACGTCTATTCATCCTTAGGTTAAGGGGGATTACACTGAACAATAAATAAAGGTCATGTCACGAGGCACCAATAATTGGTTAAATATTAACGAAATCTGTTTTAGCCATCCATTGGCATAAATGTGTACAAATGAAGAGAGTCCCGCAAAGCAAGGCTAAATAAGGGCTTTTCATGGCAAATATTTCCCAGAGACCAGATGACGAATGATTGTCATTAAAAAAAAATCTATTCAAAATTCAAGTTGGTCACTCTTGTCCTATCTGGCGAATCCATTTTCGACTTGTCATTTTGATTTTAACGAAATTGAATATGACAATGATCCGGATTCCATAGCCTGAACAGCTATATTTGGACCTAAACTTTTTCGCTTAAGTTCTTTAAAGCATGGCCTCCTAATACGGCCTATCGGATATATAGTTTGTAACTGTTCTTGATATTATCCTTAACAAGAGGTGTGAATAGAAATGTGAGAGGGACACCACCATCTTAAAACCATCGGGAACATTTTCACCTAATTGAACAGAAACACGTGTCTAAAACAGGCCTCATTGGTCTCTTATTTTGCATCAACTAGCAATCCAGATTATGTTAACGTTATCAACGTTGATAACATTGACAATCTTTCTTTAATTTTATCCTCGATTCATACAAGATAACTTAACAGTTTCTTAAAGTAGTATTTTCTTATATTGGAACTATTTTGAAAAGAAAATACATTTAACAGTAATGTAGCATATACCCTTATACATTTGTATACTTGAGGCCCGTTTTGTTGCTGTATATCTTGTTCCGAAAAAAAATTCGAGTATTGTTCTTTGAGGAAATACGGCCAGACCAGATAGTCTGATTTTGCTTTATTTAACATTTACAAAAATATTCTGCATATATGCTCACCTGGAAATGTTAGCAAAGTTGAAGTTAGAATAGCATGATGTTACTGGAAGTGTACATGTATTACATGGTTAGTCAGGGGCTATACATTTATATGCAATTGGACAAAATCTTGTCATTCCTAAAATAAAAGGTTGATTTCGAAGAATTGGCTATGTTTCCCTTATTGGGCCCAGCCCCTATGTCCCCAGGGGGGGTCAGACCCATCGTTCATACAAAATTAGGTCCCCTTCACCCAAGGATGCTTTAGACCAAATATGGACATAATCCTGTCATTCCTACAGAAGAAGGATTTAAAAGCTATTTTTCCTCTTTGGCGTTTGTGTGTGTGTGTGTGTGTGTTTGCTTCATACCAAATTCGGACAAAATGCTGTCATTCCTACAGAAGAAGGATTTTGAAGAATTTGCTGTTTCCCCTATTTGGCCCCGCTCCTCAGTCCCCAGAGGCCACGCTCACCCTTTATTGGGTCCACTTTGCCCAAGGATGCTCCAGACTAAATTAGCATAAAATCCGTAAATCCCTAAGGTAGGAGAAGGATTTTTAAGATTTTACCTCTATTTCCCCTGTCGGGCCCCGCCCCTATGCCCCTAGGGAGGCCACACCCAACGTCTATACAAAATTGAGCCCCCTTGGCCTAAGGATGCTCCAGACCAAATTTAGTCAAAATCTACTTGGCCGTTCAGGACAAGTAGCGTTTTAAAGGAAAAGTTGACGGACGGAGGGACGGACGCTGCGGTATGGCATAAGCCTTCGGACCAGATGAGCTAAAAATGCTCATTTAACAATAGATCCCAGAGGGACCTAGGGGTTTTGGGTTCCTAAGTTTAACCTTTTCCTCTTACTGTTAAGTTAATAGTCTTGACAACAGTAAATTTATCATGTGATAACTTTTAAAACTTCATAAGCTGGGTTTGGCAATGTCCTTTCAAAGTTAGGTCTTTCTTTACTTCTTGAGAAATAGGGATAACACTCTTTAGCTGTCATAAATCAAAGATGGCTTTCCGGGGACGATTTTGTTGCACAAGTCTCAGAATTAAATATTCACAACTATGAACCAAATGGAACATATGTATGAAATTAGAGAAGTCTGTCATTATCTTATTAAGAAATAGCGACAACAAACTTGAACTGTCCAAATTCAAGATGGCTTCCTTTTAGCCACCATGTTTCCCCGATCAGTCTTCAAAAGGAAGGGCCTTAGCGGTCACCTGCGTTATATCATATGTACTGGTAACTTTATTTTATTGTTTAGATGTGATGTGGAAATCAGCATGTAAACTAAGTGAAATACAATACTTGTCATGTCATCAAAAGATAAGAATTTTAAAATTTGGTAAATGTTCGCTTTGGGGCAGGAATTCCAAATTTACATTGTAATACTCTCATCCACTACAGATGATTCTGACCAAGATTGAATAATTTTCTGCTGAAAATGGATAAAATATACCGAAAGTGTTATTTCTCTATATAAACTATAGTAAACTTTACCCCCTCCCCTATGGGGAAAGGATGGCTCAGGGGTCCTGAAATTGACAATTTCAATAGAGCTCCTGATGATCTTTCTATCCATGCACTGAAATTGACTGTAGTACCTCTGAGTCTGGAAAAGACTTTTGAAATATTGGTTAATTTTCCCTTTGGGGTCTGCCCTGGCCCTTAGGTTTGGGGTAGAAATCCCAGAAAATTGTCAAAACAAACCCAATAGTGTTGTTTCCCTATATAAACTAAAGTAGACTTTACCCCCTCCCCAAAGGAGAACGGTTAGCTCGCGAGGTCCTGCAATTTACAATTTAAATAAAGCCACTGATGATCTTTTCATCCATGCAGAGATAATGACTGTAGTACCTCCAAGTCTGGATAAGAAGATTTTTGAAATATTGGTTAATTTTCCCATTGTTGCACAGCCCTGGCCCCTAGGATTGGGGTAGGAATCCCAATTTTAGAATTTTGCAGCCTCATCCACCAAGGATGATTCTGACCAAGTTTGATAAAACTCCATCCACTGGTTTTTGAGAAGTTGAAAATGTAAAAAGTTTACGCACGACGGACGGCATCTTCGCTAGCCAAGGGTTCGCTTCGTATACACTCCACTTACCCTTGGCGGATATAGCCGTGTTTACCGAGCCTTTAAATTATTGCCTGATGGCAATCGCTCGCATCCAATGAAATCGCGTCTTACATATAGGGCTGTTGACAAAGGTAAATAGTAATGGCGGCGCCCAGTAAGTGGAGTGTATACGAAGCAAGTTCTTCTTGAGAAAGAGTGATAACAAATAAAGTTTTCTGATCATTCTCAAAATAAACCCTTCATATAAAGTTGGAGGAAGATACGTCAAATACGTTTTTGAGAAGTAGTGACAAGAATTGTTTTCGTAGATGGCAACGGACCAAAGATGAAGAGTGATGTGATTAACACACAATGTGATGAAAATAAAAGTAGCCTGTCTGCATAAATCTTAAGTCTGAGAAACCCTAAATAAGTTCAGAAATGATTGTTTGTAAAGCACAATATTTGAAATTTAACATTTGTATTACAAGACAAATGATGTAGCGACAACAAAAGATGTTTTCCTATTTTATTATATCATTTTATAATTTCATCATACAGTGAATTGCAACAGGCCAATATAATAAATAATACAACATAGCGTGAGAAATGTAGTCTGACCACAGCAGCAACGTACTGGGATATCTCATATACCTTATAACGGAAGTGGACAAATCGAATGTTCCCAATTTAAACCATTTTTACAAGACAATAAATTGTTTGTCATATCATTCCACTAAAGGATAAACAGACAAACAATTCATTTATCTATTTGTTCATGCAAATGCTTCTTTAAGTAATTTTAAAGCAACTGTCTACATATTTCCATTGAAAGCTTTGTACTCTGGGAAAGGCTACCCAGTACCAGACTATGATACAAAAGTTTATCATATAATCTATATATTCTAATCTACATTTCCAAATACATTATATGTACCACATAAGTATTACATTTTTTAAATTTTTCTTACAAAAATAATTTCTGACTATATGCAAGAATACAGAAGAAAATTATTACAATACTGTCCATACTTATAGTGCTGTGACCATTGTCTTACAGATAAGCTCTTCAACCATTGCTACTCATAAAAAGGGGATATAACTGATAATAAAGGTAAATACAGGATCAGTGTTACAGTAATCTCCCCTTGCACTGTTTGAAACAAACCAAATATAGCTAGTATTTTTAAATTCATTAAGACAACGAACAGATAATGTAAACAAATGAAATTAGGTATATTTTCCATGTGTTTGCCTTCCGAGCAATGTTATTTTAATCTACAAAAGATAAAAATTACATTTCATCAGTGATCCAGAAGCTTTTGGAACTTATATCAATATGAATCGATGATCGAGAAAATCTTTGAAATGAAGTATATTATAAAACACAGGACCTTGGTACAAGCTAAACATATAACACAGCCCTAAGAAAACACTGTGGGTAAATAAATGGTGAAGTGATATTTTACAAATACACTGTACTTGACTAACACAAATACCATGTATGTCTACTCCATAAAGTTCATTGTAAAAGAATATGTATTTTCTGATATCAAATGTATGGGATCAAAATACTGCCATTTGGTAAAATGCATAGTACAATGTGTTTCTTTTTATGAAACACATCTGAAGGAAAATTAACCTACTTGAAATGTGCTTTTATTTTCTAATCTAATTAAAATTATATCTTCACATCGTTCCTGTTTACCGATGTCGCATGGAAGCAACATATCAGTAAATGGGAGCAATGTGAAGATACAATTTTAATTAGATTGGAAAATTAAAAACACATTTCAAGTAACATGCAGTGCATATGGTACTAGATTGTACTCCACACTTTGTACTCCACACTTTGTATCTCTTTAAATACTTTATGCTCCAACTAATGATGCCATTCAAACGTTTGAAACATGAACAAACCTCAATGAAAAAATAATCAAACTAACAACACATTTTGTAATGATTTACCGGTACATAAAACTTCAATTAATTTAAAAACCATTTTAAACTTTTCAAAATCTTGTACAAACTCATATGCGAAAAATCCGTTTTCATACAAATTACTGCTAATGACATTCTTTAACAAAAAGCTACAAGACATACACTAAGTTGTCAGCACGCAATATAGATACAATACATAGCAGGCACAAAATATCATTTAATGTTAATTGAATTGTTCTGGTATTAAAAATTTAGTAAAACATGTTAATCATGTTTATACAAACTTTTCTACCTATCATGATTTTCAATATTTCACAACCTCTTGGAATAGAAAACTTAAAATTCATCATGGTACTTATGAAACTTATCATATTGTATCAGAATCCTAATGAAGTCTTTATATAAAATATATATATATATACTGTAACCATTTTTTTATCTTAAAATAATTTGTAGCTTCAATCATATTAGTTCTAGATCTGTTAAACACAAATAATTCTTTTTTATACCAAACAATTTGTTGAATAAATCTAGTTGCATGATTATAAACTGTGGTTCCGTGGCCATAACTCTACTGCCAGAAAAGGAACAGGTAGAAAAATCTAAACACTCATTGTTTAACCTATTCATGCAATTAAATTCATAAAACCATCCGTTTCTCATGATAAAATAACATGATACCATTTCAACAGGTAATGTGTCATGGCCATGAAATCTTAAAGCTATTTTGTTTTGATTTCAGATAAACACTGGAGCCGGTGATTACAAAAAGTGCACTCTCACTTCACTGTATATATTTCTGGAATAGTCAAGTAGGAATACTCTAACATATTTCTTTTTCTCTGTTTTCTTTACTATTGTAAAGGCACTAATTAACATCTCACCATTGATATAAAACTGCAAAAAATCAAGAAGTGATATAGATGTGTTGTTTGTACAATAAAAAAAAATCAATATGTTGAATGGATCATTTTGTTTTTAAAAGCTACTTAGATGAAATCAAAAGCCTAATATATATATTTATATACATTATATATGGATATTATCATACCCAATATGAACCCCTACATAATGATAATACACAAACAGTACACAAGACTACAATTGTATAGTAGTGTATCCAAGCTTATAGCCTATACTCATTGGAATATACATGTACAAGTTAATTGGACAGAGAAATTCCATTTTTTTCTTTCTTTAAACTTTTTTTTATATGGTTAACCTTTTCACCGCTTGAATCATATTTACCATGATAGAATTATCATTATATTGCACATTATCGTTACTTACACATATATATACACAAATACATACAAGCAAAAATGATTTTGAAAACTGACCAAATTCAAACACCTTTGCTGTCAACTTTGCTCAAGTGGTATTTATAAAATACATGCATATGTGAACTTGTCAGGTCTGACAGCATTGTTAATCCTTGATTACTTTCATTTGCATGAGCTATAGAAAAAGCACCTTATTGTTGTGAAATTATTACAAAATGCTAATTTTTCAAACATGTTTGTTGCATGATTCTTACACACACATTTCTACAAAGACTTTGATAATCATAAAAATCAACACCTATCACAAGTACATCTTGGTACAAAAAAAAAATGTCTTTTTTAATATAATTAGAAAGACAAGTATCACAATAAAGACACTTCTGTTAACGTCTAATACTTGACATATCGCGCAGTGTTGTGTGAACTTTTCCGTCGTTTTGACTGGCCGCTGACAATCTTTTTCCTCCTCTTTGTGGCCTGTTTGAAGCCAGTGAATGGTAAATCACCTTGCCAGTCCTCATCATCATCGTCCTCTTCTGGATTGTACCAGTCATCCTGGAGTTGACACCCTGACAGTAGCATCCCTGAGGACACGTGCGACTTTCTTTCAGACTTCCGCATAGGTTGTTGATCGTCAGAGGAATCTGGGATGGAAGGACGTGATAATGCTTTTGAAAGCTGAGGATATTTATCTGACTTTCCTTTCTGACGTCGATTTGTCTTTGTTGCTGCTGCTGTCTGCTGTAGCTTTAGCTGAGTCTTATAAGCTGCCTCAGCACTTTCCACTTTCATTACAGCCTTCTTCAAAATGTCTTTAAAATTACTGCGGGCAAATTTCAGTCGCTCCTGTGATGGCCACGTGACTGGTTGACTATTTTCATTGGTGGCAGGTGCAAGAGTTGGTAAGGAGTTGGTAAAAGATGGCCTAAGAGGCTGGTTGATCGTACCCATACTTAATTTCCTCTTTGACATCTTGAGTGCCCTCTGAGCATCAGGTTTCATGGGTGTGATTCCAGGCTTGTTGGTATCAGCTGGACTAAGAATACCAAGTCTGTGATCCACCACTGTTGTAAACTCTTCCTGACCTGGAGCTGTGTCAAATAACCTCATCCTTTCCTTCAGTTTTTTCCCTTTTGGAGAGTTCATGATGGCTTTCCCTTTGGGTGAGTTCATAATCTCATTTAAAGCCACTTTACCTTTCGGTGATTTCAGAATGTCATCTAACACTTGTTCATCAAGATCTAAGCTGAAAAGATTTTCTTCAAAATTGGCAAAAAAATCCTTTTCCCACTCCTCAGAGATTCCAACATCTTCGTACACTGGGGGTTTCTGTAGATTGTCAACACTGTAGTGATCAGCAGAACGCTGTCGAATCATCGGCTTGACTGGACTAGTCTGTGTCTGGGAAAGTAGTGCCATCTGTCCAGAAGGGATCACTGATCTCTGTACCAGGGGACCGGGTGAGAGATAACCACTGTCATAAGGTGCTTCCTGCTTGATCTGTGTTAGTAACGTTACATTGTCAGAGGACTCTTCCTCTTGCAGAATGGACGTCAAGCCCAACATTGTAGTTCCACTGTAGTTATCTGAAAGTACACAAGAATTTAACAAAAATGAAATAATACTACACATTTTTTTCTTAATCTGTAAAGTTCATCCCTACATTAGTATTGACTTCCATTCAGCTAGCAATCATAGTTAAACATGAATGCCAGCTAGTTGAACAGGACAGATTTTATAAAGTGTTCTAGTGCTTCATATTGAATTTGTCACATTACAGTTTGTAGCTTTCAAGTGCATTTTCAACAAGACATAGCTTTCAAAATTGAGTATCAAGCTTTTTAATAAAATAGTAATATAAGCTCTGTTAAAGTCAGAACTGCTGCTCTATATAAGCATAGTAAAAATATTTTCCCCCCAAAAATGCCTAAATACCAACCCTATTCTATTCAAAGCAGAAACAGCTACTAAACAAACATTTTTTTGCCTTAATACTATATGCTTTACTTAGAGATTACTACTCAAGATTTATCTGTAACAGATAAAGGTAAAATGCAACAGCCAGACTGGGATTTGAATCTGGGACCTCCCAAGTCTAGAAAGACACTCTATATCCAACTGAGCTGTATGGTATGTCTAGTCATCAGTAATTAGTATGTACTTCTCACCCTATCCAAGTTCTGCTAATTACAATGATAGAACATATATCACAATTGCAAATTGTTACAATTGTAAGAGATGCAAGTTATTCAATCGATATATTATCACCCCCATAGAAGTAAAAGGTACCTATTAAAATCTGTGGTATAACATGACTATCAAAATAAAATGTAAAACAAAAAGCAAAGATATTGTATATGTTTTTATGTCTGCCTTTTTTGTTCCAAAAATTATCTACACTTCACCTTTTTATGTAATATACACTACAAATGTCAGTGGCTCTGATCAAACCTGGAGAAAACAAAATTGGTCACATTTTTTTCTGATGATGTACATATGCATGTAACAAGATGTGCCAAGAGAACATACACTATAGTCTATACCTCAAAGAAAGCTATTTGTTTTATCTTACAAATTTGCCTTCATAAATGCTTGTTCAGCACTTTTTTTTGTCTTAATAAGCAGTCAGTCATCTCAAAAACAGAGACACAACGTGGTATACAAACTATTCATGACAAAATATTGAACAAAATCTGTTAAAGGCCTATACTTCGTTACTTTTCACATCACAAAAAATGAGAACAGTTCCGGTATTGTTATTGTACGGGAACAAACTCAACCCACATTGTTAATCCGTAAGATCATAATCAATACGAGAAAAACATATCATGACAATATAACAAATTACTTGATTTATAAAGAAAGTTATTTCTTATTGTGATATGACATAAATCAGGCTCTAAACTCCACTGATGACATTACCCATTACTGCAATAAACAGCTGTTTCCCAAGCTGACATTGCCCGAAAATCGACCATAATTCAGAAGCGAATATTAACCATATTTGAGCTTGAATATTTGTTATATTACATACATGCAACAATTGTTGATAAAGGATCAAATTTATACCTCTTTTTGTAACGGATCGGAGGAATTTTCAGCGTAAAAGGTCTATGAAAAATCGGTATTTTCTTTCCCTTCGCAGGTTGGCGCCATCAGCCTCGTTCTGCCGTTAGATATTATTGGTGGAATTTTCTCGGATATCAACCAATCAAAACCGATTTCAATCGTTTCCGCTGTCCAGAATCAATTTGGCTATATTTAGCTATTTGGAGATGGTATGGATATGATTTCCTGACTAAATGTAAGACCGTTGCTTTCCTTGGATTTTAAGCAGGCCTTAAGCTTAAATAGGAAAAGCACCATCATCTACAAACCCTAATGAAACGTATGCATGAGAATGGAGACCAATCCGGGCGGATAAAATGGGTAAATTGACATGCTTTTTCGTGCTATCAAATGTCACTGGCTTTGGCTTCAATGAATACACAAGCTACTGTGATTTCTAGAGTAAACAACCTCGAATGCTCAGCAGGTACCGTCAATATCATAACAGTAGCGTTGTTTTTTCGGTACTTTATAGCCTATTAGCCGTAAAGATAATCCAGGATGTAAGATAGACAGTCCAGCTGAGCGTGTCTACTGGTGCCCTAGATTTAATTGATTATAGAATGGTGTCAACTGCATGTGTCTAGATTTAAAGAAATTTATAAATATGTATTTAATAATCTGTGTTAGCGATACAGATAATTCAGATACAAAGACGCGAAAGGGAGAAGTTTGTTTTAAATACAGATGTTCCTTAATTTTAATGGAAACTTAAGAGTTAATCAAATATTGCAATTGTTTACTGGTAATGAATTGCATGAAAAAATATAATGACATCATATAGGATATTTCACTATTAAAGCATACCACATACTACATTACAGTTGTACAAGCAACATTTGTGAATTGTGTCATTTTACTAATTCACATCATAAAAAACATTAAAAATGGAAACATTGTGTCTGATCTGCAAAGGGTGCAGTTTTATTTGATGATATATTAATTATAACCATAAACAAAATGTACAATATTACAAAAGAATGAGAGACAGCCACTGCCTATATCAGTCATATTCATGATGTCCATGATAATAAAAATATCATAATTAAGTAACATACACTTTCTTAATTATGTAATCCTATCTTAGATAGTATAAATATAATAGTGTTCAAAACATAAATCTTGGCCATGCTTCCTGTTTTTCCAAGATTCATAATGGTACAATTCTAAAAGGGAAACTTCATATATTATGAAATGAAATTGGATCAGGTTTCCTGGGTCTAATCCTACTTAAAATATATATATACCCTTCATGTACATGTAAATCATTCTCTTGATCGAGTTAAAAGTCTACTTAAGACAGGCTCCTTGTAAGGAGATACAATTCATTATATGCTTATAACATCCAGGTAGATACCTGACTATTTCAAGTGAAACATCTGCATTTAAAAGTTACAGCAATGAACAGATTTGTCAAACTCCATAATTAAAGAAAGTGTACAAAGTATCTACCGGGGTATTAACTTTTATTCTTGGTTGTTTGTGTTCAACACTTCATTTTGATAAAGTACAGTTCAGGAAAAGTGTTAACTGCTCTTCAATAGGCACAAAACCTAACAATTTTATTAGTTTTAGAAAGTATATTTAATGAATATTCCAAGTGTGCATTCTTTCCGGTGTGCATTTGATTTATCATTTATAAATAGGTACATGTATACTATTATAATAAATCAAATCCTTACACATCATGATCATTTAACCAAATATTTGAATGTCTTTTTTTTTGGTATATTTTCAGATTGCCTGATGAAGACTTCTCCAGTTCTGACAAGTCACGGTATGGGATAACACATCTCCTCAAATAAACATGAATTTACAAGAATGAGGACGTACAAGGAGCCCAAGCGGATTGATAAGCCCCGTGCCCGGGAGCCAGGAATTGTCAATCCTGACTATGTTAACCGCATTGCAGCAAGTTATCACCAGAAAAATAATGTTATTCCAGATGGAAGCAGCAATAATGAGACGGACCCCTCGGGGACAAATCATCACTGTGACAATATCAACAGTTCAAAGGACAGTGAAGAGGGAACCTCCTGCACTATCCAGGAGGAGGAGGAGATAACTCCGGAAAATGAGGCTGAAGATGCAGAGATTGTGCACTGCAATGATGCAGGCAAATTCAAAGATCTCGACAATGGCCTTGAACAGGAGGTCAATCCCTTGAGTGATGAGGAGGCTTGTCACAACGAAAGGGAGATGGAAAGAGAGGAAAAAGCTGTGCTATCTCCACTATCACCTCCTGACTGTAGGCCTGACGTAGTGGACCAAGAATTGAACAGTGAAATTATAAGTGAAAAAACTGATATACCAGCTGTTAGCCCTCAGATGAATAGCAATAATAGCACTACAAAAAAGAAAAAGGCAACCAAACAAAAACCGAAGCCAAGTGAAAAGTCTGACACAAAGAAGTCTGTGAAGACAAAACCCACAACAAACAAAAAGAAAACATCAGCAAAACCGTCAAAGTCTAAAGATGCAATTCACAAAGAGTTAAATGGCACCAAAGAACACAAAGATGATACTGATGTAATGGACCCTGTCTTGTTGAATCAGGATCCTTCCCCACCTAAGAAAAAGAAATCCAATAATAAATCACTGCCTTCCAAAAAATCTCAGAAAAAGTTACTAAAATCAAAGAAAGAAGTAGCTAATGAAAACGATGTAGAAGAACTGCATAATATCACTGATAAGGATGACCTGGACACTTCTAGTAAGTCTGATGCATCCTCTCCAAGGGTTTCAAAACGTACACCAAAGAGAAACAGAAAGTATCATAGTGAGGAGGAAACTGAATGGCCAGTAAAGGAGGACTCGGAGCCTGGAAAAAAGAAGGATGCTGTAGGAAAACCACCAGCCGGGAAAAAGCCTCCCATCAGAAAGAGAAAGCTTCTATTTGAGGATGATGACATTGATGAGGAGGAGGAGGAGGAGGAGGGGGAGGTTGCTGTGGCAGCACCTAAAGATGTAATAGTTAAAAAACCAGTGAATAAAAAACGTAAAAAAATAGAAGACAAAGCAGCGACAGAAACAAAAGCAGAAACAGTTACAGAAACTGCAACTGAAAGTACAGTTGTGGAAGGAACTGGGGAGGCAAAACCAGAAACTGTCCAGAAAAAAGCGAAAAAAGCAAGAAAGAAACCTGCTGCTAAGAAACCAAAGACAGCAGTTAATGAAAATATTCCTCCAACAGATACTCTTACAGATGGAGGAAAGAATGTAGGTAATGATTTAGGTAGAACAAGTCAAGAGGACAAAGTTGTTGCCCCCGATCACGACTGTAATGAACTGAAAGGTACAGAGGACAATGAGACCACGGACACTAAATCAAAACCTACTGTCTGTAAAAAAGTAGAGACATCTGACATCAAAAAGAAAAAGAAAACTGTCAAAAAGCGGAAAGTTACACCACCATCAGAAGAAGTGAATAAGAACACTTCTGCAACAGAGGAAGTGGGTAGTAGTTCTTTAGTTAACAAGGCAAGTGGGGAAACATGTGATAAACCGTTAGAAGTGAAACCGTTAGAAGTGAAAAAGAAAACAACTAAAAAGAAAAAGAGCATAGTTCAAAATAAGGAAAGTACAAATGATGAAAAGAAGGAGCTTGTTGTGAAGGAGGAAACTTCAGAAAAAGAAGGAGATGCTGCCAAAGAAGTGAAAGAGGAAAACATGGAGTCAAAAGGGACAGAAGGTTCACCTCAAAAACCAATTATTCCAGTTGTAAAGAGGCCTCCAGTGGTGATCACCTGTCAGCACTGTGGTCACATATCACACAGCAAGGGGGCCAACACACGGCACCTGCGTAAATGTGTGGTCAGTATTCTCAAGGGGGAGGGGCCTATGTCCCCTACCCGGGCCAGCTCCAGCGGAATGGAGTCAGAGATTAAAACCGAGGGATCTGCTGAAAATGGGGAGGACACCCAGGATGTGAAAACCACTATTTTATTACAAAACCAGGAGATAAAAAAGATAGAAACAGGCACGGCCGGGGAGGCCCAGTATAGGTGTCAGCACTGTACGTATGCAACACCAAAACGGGCCATGTTAGCTCGCCACATGAGGACTCATGGTATTTATGTGTGTTTGCGATGCACATTCATTTCTGACACTCATGATAGCCTCAAGGACCATTGTCACAGGGAGCACAAGGACAGAACAGACTTTAAGTTATGTCGAAAGTGTAGTCGTTATGTCAAATGTACTGAAATACCCTTGGAGAAACACATGGAGGAATGCTTAGGGCCAGTCCCTTTCATTTGTCATCACTGCAGCAAAGAATTCAAATATGAATCATCTCTCAAATCCCATATCATACGCCATAATCCAGATGCACCAAAACGCTTCCATTGTGAAAAGTGCAGCTACGAATCGAACTACAAAGCCAACCTTAAAAAGCATATGGCTAATATCCATGGGGAAAAGGTGAAGCATGTGCGTTGTGTGCATCCAGATTGTGAGAAAATGTTTTACACTGAAGACAGTATGCGAAGACATTTAAAATGGCATTCAGAGGAACGACCTTTCAAGTGCCCAAATTGTGACAAACGATTCAAAACGAACACTGCCCTACGGGGTCATAAGGTGATACATGACCCTTCTCGCCCATTTAAGTGCAATATCAATGATTGTACAAAGGATTTCCGATCCAAGAAACATTTAAAAAATCATCAAGAAGAATTCCATCAAATTGCTGACAAGAAATTTCTGTGTAATCAGGAATCATGTACATTTGCATTCTTCAAAAGAAGCCACTTAGAACGCCATCTCATCACACACACTGGTTTGTATTTATGAAAATGGTTAATGGTGTGAATATTTGCATTATATTTTCCTTTGATAGAGGTCAGAGAGGATATTGTAATCATGCTCTGACATCCATCTGTGCATCTGTAGTATTTGGGAAAGGTGTGGCTTAACACAATAAAATTCAATGGATTCATTACATAAACTCCTGATACTGTACCATTGCATTTTATAAGGCCAAAACTACCCCGACTGACACTAGTTTTTACCTCTGACCCCAACAGCTTTATCTCACTTGAACACTCTCCATATGCATCCAGTGTTGGGATAACTTGTCAACCAGATGCAAATAAATTTATGGACAAACAAACAAGGCAACTATATCCTCTCTGCTTCATAGGCAGGTATTAAACCAAATTTAAATCCCATATTATTATTCAAGAGACCTAAAAATATGTTTTGTGATTTTTCTTATTTCTTATTACCCAAAAGGATTTAAATTTGCGAAAAAGTCGAATGATATACATGTCTAGGTCAATTCAGAATTGGGCAACTTGTTATAGTATATTATTATACCAAATTGTATAGGAAACAATATTAATGCAAATAAACAACCAAGTGACATGATTACCCAAATAAATGAGTCCAGACAATATACAAAATAACAATGCTAGTTGGTTGAATTATACAGGGGAAGTGCATGTACATCTTTCATGCACAACATGACTTTTACAAAATGTGATATCAGCTGTAATATTAGAAGTTATATGATAGGTTTCAGTGTCTTTGCCTGACATATTATATATTATATAAGTGGGAGTAAAATCAAGCATCATTAACCATTTATTCTTACCCCTTTATATGGCTTGCCTTGAGCTCTAACATTTTGAGGGCCAAAAGCCATTTTAGGAGGTCATATACCCCATATGAGGGTGAAAGGAAATCCCAAGTTCAGCTGGTTGATTAAAATATTTAAACCATGAATAGGAACATGAATGTACAAGATATGTACCTATGTGGTATGATGTACTCTACAAGTACATTTGATTTCATATATACATATGTATTGCAATATTTTTAAAGGAACATTGGTATTACATATATACTATTCCGTCTTTGCGTATTGCAGAGTTATCTTCTCTTGGGAGCAGGTATTGATTGTTACGTCATTGGTTTGTGCGAGAAAATGACGTCGTTTTCTCAAAAAGTGATGACGTTACTCTCACAAACAAGTGACGTAACAATCAATACCTGCTCCCAAGAGAAGATAACTCTGCAATACGCAAAGACGGAACATGCTTTATAATGGGAATAAAGCACTGTCAACAATGAACCATTAAGCATCCCTCAAATGAAGTCAAAACTAGCTCTCCCTAATCTATTAAGGGACTTTTTTAGAAATAGAAATATTGGTATTTCTACCTCTCAAAATTCTTTTCTTTTGCTGGGAAATTTAAAAGTCATCTGAGGCCTAACATTTTATTATGTGACTTATGTTGTAAGTGGCGAGGCCCCTCCTCCATGATACTCCAGAGGTTATATGCTCACTTTCACTCTGCACCCTGGAATATGTCATAGCAAAATTGAAGGCACGCAGCTAGCTATTTGATTGGTTCAGGTAAATAAACCTGACCAATCGTTTATATAATGCTGATACCTGTCCTTTGAATATTACAGAGAAGCGAAACCCGACTTCTAAGCAAGTCATTCTTACTGTTAGTGTTACACGACTGACATCAAATGATCAAACTAGTCTAATCGTCTCACCCACAAGGTGGTTATACTACTGAGCCTTCAATTTTGCTATGACATATATATTCCAGGGCTGCGAAAGTGAGCGTAACCCCTGGAGTACTGAGGATGCGGGGGCCCTAGCTCTGCTCCATTATATCTTCATATCTGGGAGATTGAGGATAGTATTACAATACATTATGTATATAATTTAAATACAACAATGATACATGAACCTCCTTTCCTGTTATTCATATATAATTATATAGCTTTCACACCTGTTACCCTTGTAACACCAAATGATAACCATGTATTTCATTTGTTGCACTTAATTAACACCAATGATAAACTCACCTTTCTTTCTTGAACCTTAACCTAAAACCAGTGATTACTCAGCATAAAATTTAAACCAATGATGTCCCAGTCCGTTTGCCCCTCCTCCTCCCCTTCAACACTCATGGTCACTAAAATTAAACTGTACACAGCGTACAAATATTATGTAAGAGTGAATGAGTTAACAAGTTGTTATGTAAGGAGAAGAAAATATGATTTAACCCATTCACCCCTAAAGTACATTCGAACCTTGCCAAATCAAAAACTTAAAGTCTAGTTTAAACATGTAGGGGTGAATGAGATAAGAACCATAAATACTTCTATATATATTTGTTTATGGTCTGTGTGTTATTTCATACAGAGATATTTAATAATCTTTTTCTTATACATTTCAGGTGAACGGAAGTTTGGTTGTCGTATCTGTGGCAGAGCTTTTCGACATGCGGACAATTTGAAAATACATATGAGGCAACACACAAATGAGAAACCAGTGAAATGTGACTTATGTGATTTTGCATGTCGGCAGAAAAGCTCACTACAGTATCACCTGCGCAAGTTCCACAATATCATCCCTCCCTCCAAGGAAGCCTCCCATCATGTGGTGGCCATTGATGGAGTTCGAAAGCCAGCATCTGCCTCGGTCGGCAGTGCTAATGGTAAGGACAGCAATGGCACCCTACTACAAGATAAGAAGCCTCTGTCTCCTGTCAATAGATCTCAGAACCCAATGGACTTGTATGAGTTTAAGTCGGATGATGAAATGGACAGTGATGCATTGTTACCACTGTTCCAGGACAAGTCTCTAAAGTCTTTTAGAGTCAACCATGTTGAAAAGATGGAGAATGAGAAACCAGCTGTGATGGAAAATAAAGATCTTGCCCAAGTAAGTGCACTTGACCTGCCTACAGGCCAAGAGGGTGTTGACCTGCCAACAAGCCAAGAGAGTGTTGACCTACCAACAGGTGAGGAGAGCGTGAAGGACGAACAACCAAAACCTGAGGTAGCAAAGAAAAAAGTTGTTAGAAAGAAAAAGAAACCAAAGGTTGTAAAACAGGAGGTGAAGGAAGAGGAGATGAAATCAAATGAAGAAGAACACAATCTAAATGTGAAAGAAGACCATGAGGAAGTTGGGTCTTCGAATGGTTTAGTTACCAGTCCCTCTAATATCATTGGTGAGGATGTGTCTGAGGTTGTGACTGAGATAGTGAAAGCTAAACCAAAGGGAAAGGGCAAAGGTAAGGGCAAGAAGAAGGCCACTCCAAAGGGCACATCACCAAAGGCAGCTTCACCTAAAGGCACCTCACCTAAAGGCACCTCACCTAAAGGCGTCTCACCGAAGGCAGCCTCTCCTAAAGGCAGTTTGCCTAAATCAGCTTCTCCAAAATCAGTAACACCTAAATCTTCAACACCCAAAGCATCAACACCTAAATCAAGTTCACCCAAATCCAATCTGCCTAAAGCAGCAATATCAAAAGCAGCTGCATCCAAAGCTGCAAAGGAAAAAAAGGCACCAATCAAAAAGGGTCGCAAAGTAAAGGCAGAAATAGAGGAGGAGCTGCTAGCTAAAACAATAGCAAAACAAGCACCAAAACGATCTCCCAGGACAAAAGCTGTCACATCAAAAAAGAGTCCTGGTGGCAGGAAAAAGCCAAAGGCCAAGAAAAAGAAAAAGGAGCCTGTTGTGGCAGAGGATCTGGATGAAACTGATGAGTATCGAGAGGATGATGATGATGAAGAGGTAAAGGAGAAAGTTACTTTGGATCTGCCTAGTAAAGATCAAACTGTAGAAGAAAGTGTGGATGAAGCCAATTTGAAAGCTACAGCTTTTGTTGATGTGATTAAATATGTGGAGGAACATAGTGCTGGTAACTTGTCAGAGCCCGATAAACCGGAACAACCTCCACAGGAAGTTGTGGAGGATTCACTTCCTGTTGTTGAGGATTTACTTCCTGTTGTTGAGGATTTCCTTCCTGTTGTTGAGGATTTCCTTCCTGTTGTTGAGGATTCTGCTGAGAAGGATATAGAAGATAATGGTGATGAGATGATACCAGAAGAGAAGAAATTAAAGGAGGATGAAGAGACGGTGGTAGCTGAGCCAGTTACAGATCCTGTTGTCACTGTAGCTGAACCTCTCCCTGAGGTGCCAAGTAAAGTGGATGAGGAGAGTGACAGGATGAGTAGTAGTATAGACACTGACTTTGAGGAGGAGCTAAAACCTCCCCCAGCCCCTCGCCCCCCTCCTGTGATAGACAGTGATGAGGCGGACATAGAGTCGGGGCCAGAGGACATTGACACACCTGGGAGGGACTTTGAGTCTACACCACCAAAGTCTGTGGCCAATAGTGAGAACATCCACAGTGTGCAGAGTCATTCCGGGGGAGAGCCACGTCTGGACAGTGACTTGGGAGACAGTATGTCCCAATCTTACAGGCGCTCAGAGTCACAACCTGACAGTGGGTCAGAAATCAAGCGGGACCAAGATCCTCTTGATGCTTTGGCAGTCAGCATAAACAAGACTGAGGCTAATGATCTCCCCAAACAGACACCAATTGCAGATGGGGTAGCCACTCCTGTTGTTGCTGGTCCTGCCAATGCAGATTTTGGGGGCTCACAATCTGAGTCTACAATGCCAGAGGTTGACAAGGAATACCTGGGTCAGTACCTTCAGCAGTTTGACTCCACTGCACGCTCTGAGGACGAAGTATCTCGTCTAGACAGACTTGACACAACAGCTGAAAGATCCATAGACATTCCCTCTACTCCCCAGGACAAGGAGTTACCTCCCCTTAACCTAAGTGCATCTGCACCTCCTCTAAATCTAACAACAACTCCGGAGATTCCACCTGAGGAGATCCAGCCTCAGCCTGTACAGGGCACAGACATGTCCAACAAACGCATGGAGATCCTGGAGTGTGATAGGCAGCACGAGAACCACTACCAACCCAGCCGCAGTGTGAGCCCACTGCGCCCTTCAGAAAGGATCCCTGACAATGTGTACGACAGCCTAAATGCTATCACATCGTACATCCCAACCCCAACCCCCACCCCCACCCCTACTACCAGGGAACCCCCAGTCATTAGACAGACTGAGAATATATTTCCTCCTGTGACTGCTAGCACATCTTCTACCACAACCTCCTCCTCATCCTTCATGCGCTTCACAGAGAATGATGCTTTACTACAACGTCAGAGGATGACGACTCCTTTCCTTACCCAAAGTGATCCAAACGCATTACAAAACCTTCATCGTATGGCTGACTCTGCCCTTGCATCACATTCTAACTCTGCTTCCTCATTGTTGCGACGACCTACGACTGTGCCGCCACGAGAGGACATGTTTCCAGGCCCCACAGCAGTAACGGCCCAGACCATGGCCAGGAATCCATTTAACTCATGGACAGGTGTGACAGGGCAAGAGGTAAGACCTGCTCACTGGTCCCAAACACCATACCTTCAGCGGGACCGCCCCGCAAACTCCACATCCTCCCCACTATTCTCCAAGGACAACTACCTCAGTGGGCGGGAGTTCATGTTTGATCCCTCACGACGAAGTGTTGCAGAGAGAAATATGTTCCCTGGATTAACTCAATCTACAACTCGCCCAGAATTACCGCATGAAACTTTTCCCATGGAGAGATTTGATTTCGGTTATTTTGGAAGTCATGGTTACCCAACTGCACCCTCTCTACAAGAATATACAAGAACACAGTGTGGCACATCCCAAAAAACATTAGAGGAGCGGTATCGTCAGTCGGCCTCAGGAATCACTGACTTTTCACGTGCTTTTCCTCCAACATCAACGTCGGAAATGTTCAGTAGCATGAATATGAACACCTCATTTAACCTGGACAAGTACATGTACAATCGTGAGCCCATCTATCATCCTCAACATATGGGGGACAGCACCAATAGCCCGTTCCTTCCCCATGGGGTGGCCCCCCAACATACCATGTTTGACCGTGAATACCCCCCGCGTGGATTCTACCAAAACAGTCCCTATAGCTTTGTGAACTCTATGAACGATAAGCAATATGCTGCTGCTGCAGCTGCATCAGCGAAACTTACACATCCTACTGGGTCAGGGGTGACACAAGAACGGGACTTTGTGCCTCGTCCGAATACTGGGGCTGCGGCAGCCCCAGACAACCAGATTCAGGACCCCTATAGGAATCCCCTGCTGTACAATATGATGAATCGCTACACTTTCGAATGATTTGGTGTGTATGTGTCTGTGATGTAGCCAGCTCTGTTCAGGTCCTCAAAACTACTACCCCTGTACACAGGAATCTCAAGCACCTGCTTATAGACTAAGCAGAGCCTGGCTTACAAACTCTAACAGCTGTGTTGTTGTCTTTCTGTGCACATCAGAATTTAGAACTATTTGAGATTTACATGGAAACGTCCAGTAACTGTATTAGTGTCCAGAATAAATATTCTGAGACATGTTTTGTATTATTTGTTGTCATGTTGCATTATATAAACCCATCTGAGGAGGACCATAAAGACATGTCTTGAGGCCAGAGGTCAACAACCTGAATCTAGCAGTCAAACGTCTCGTTCAGAGGTTGATCATCTTTTTCTGAGGTCAGAAGTTGATTCATCTCTTGCTGAGGTCAAAGGTTAATCATATCTCTTGCTGCAGTCAGAGCTTGATCATTTTTCTACCTAAGATTAGAGCTCGATTATCATTAAATCTATTTTATTTCACATTTCACATGGATGTCTCATATTACATGCTAAAACAAATTACCCAGGTATATAACGGACATGTAGTAACAGATGGTGTTCTGGTAATTTCTCATGGTTACTTATGTACTCTAAAGGTTTATCACCAGAACTGACCTGTGAGGGAATACGCTGTATATTTTTCATGTAAAAAAGAACATCAATGTGAAATCTGAAATGTGTTAAGAGGTAAGTCATCCTTGTGAAGATGAGGTCCAATTTCAAGGGTGAGAGTTTTTTGTTTCATGTGTATGATCGGATGTCAAATTTTATCCATTCTGTTGAGTCTGCGACAGAGGAGTGTGCAATCTCTGTGTTATTTTTTCTATGGATGTGCATGAATGTTATTAGCTGTGGTTTGGTACGTATCCTCACAAGGATATTTGTGACCGACTAAACGTCCATTATTTCTGCATTTCTTTATTTGGGTAAACAACATCTTTTACTAAAAATTGATAGGGTAGATGAGAAAGTAAAGTTTTATACACAAAAAAACATTGCTTAAAACAGTAATCTAGACTTGGACAGAGCTTCCGTAAAATTTCCCATCCAGACTATATTGTATGAAGTGCTGTTAACTAAAATTTTCAATTTTTTCTTCTTTTTATTTTTTATTATTTTTAATGCTCTGAAAGTGTTGAAGTGTTTTCATATAACCTGTCTTAAGACAGTCATTTAAAATCCTGACTCATGCAGTTTTCACTAAAAAAAATACTTATTGTGAGTTGTGTTTGAAAATTTCAGTAAACTTGCCTCAACTGTTAAGCTAATGGTGTTTTGAGCAAGCAGGCCCAGAGTTTACTTAAATGAAAAAAATAAATTTATTAGGAATATTATGTCTACACAGATTTTAAGGTTAAAGATATGAAGCAAGAAAATATTTTGCCTCCTCCAAATTACTATTGAACTGCAAGATTAGAAGAAGGGGGTGGACATCCAATGTATGAGTGAGATGACAGTCTTGATTCTTCTTTACACATTATGCTCATCATTTATCAAATGCTTTCAAATGTTTTGTTAAAGTATCCCCTTTTTAGCAGTTGTAATAAATACAACATTGTAAGGATATTTTGTATAAAGTTTTGTTTACCAAATTTTCTTTCAATACAATTTTTGGTAAGAATTTCATTTTTAAGTGTTTAAAATGTAAAACACTATAGGTTATAGTCAGTGTTTTATTATTTGCTGAAGACAAACATTGAATTTGTTAGCCACGTTCTATCAAAAACTGACTAGTCGTTTTTATGGACAGGGTTTTCAATACATGTATTCTGAAATATATCTTAAGGATTTTGAAAACATGGATTTGATGAAGTATCCTTACCCTCACTCAAACCATAAAAAGGAACACAATGATAATATTTTGTCTTTCAAGATGAAAATTATTATTTAATTCAGTAAAAACTTTTGAGAACTTTGAAATTATTTTAGATGGATGCTTCGATAGGTTTAGTTAATGACTAAAAAGTAAACTTTTGGAAATGTTTTTTTTTTTATTTGAAAAGCGTTATCTTTCTGCATGAGCTATATAAATGTTATGACCATCAAGACATCTTTTTCCTCTTGAGGAAAAATAAAAGCTTCTTACATCTGGTCTGAATTGTAAGGTGCATGTTTTGTTAAAATGTTTGTTTTTGTTAAGCCCTGCTGATATAAATTATGTCACATGCAAGATGCAAGGATTGTAACTTTCTTTAGGGAAAATGTAACATCCTTTTAGCACCATAAATTTAAGTAAAAATTATTAATGGGAGAATTCTATGTTTTTTATGAAATCAGAATTTTACACGCAGGAAGGTGAAATGTTGTTTGATAGCAAATGAAACAAACTCTTAAATGCTGGAAAAAGGTTCATCCTCGAAGGAGGTTCTATCTGAAGAAGATAAAGGGACTGGTATCCTGTGACATTAGTGCCTAGCGTAACCATGAATTGATTCCCCATCACAGGGATGTCATTTAATGCTATTTCAGATACTTAAGTATTAGATTATGGACATCGGAGAACAATATTTTGTATTGGGTTTTACAATGGCTATGTGTCGCTGTAAAGGTGTTGTGATATCCATTGTCGCATGTTTAACAGTAGATATAGGAATAGGTGAGGTTGCGACTGAGGGCGTGTGTGAGTGGAATGTGTCAATTAAGAGCGTAAGTTGCGCATGTTTTAGGTGTGTGTATATCATTTAGGAGTGTGACACAGCATAGTTTATGATGTTAGGTCGCTGAAGATTGTGTGTACATATGTGATGAGCATTTCACCATTAACAAAAGTGTGAATGTAGTTTGTGATTTGCTGAGGAGTGTGTGCGCGTACGGTTGCTGAGGATAGTGTGTGTGTTGTTGCTAAGGATAGTGTGTGTGTGTGGTGTGTGTCACTGTACAGTAACAGCACTGGCCAATCAGGGCGTGTACATACACAAATTATTGTATGTACATTTTGATGCAGCAGATCTACTTTTAAATCAGATTTTTATGACTATTATCTTTAAATGTGTGTATATGATATTGTGCAAGATATATAAGTTGCATTATGAATTGCCATTAATATGTTACATTGTAAATATATATTTTTTTCTCTTTTAAAATGTCAGTGGTGCCATTGAAAGTTGTATTTAAGAAGTGAAAAATCATGTTTTGTGAAATTATAACATTATTTACTGGTTTTATCATGAAATGTAATTTTTCCTTTACAAAAGGCATATATTCATCCATCATTTGAAAAAAAAAGATTTGTAGATATATATATATATAATCCACTGATCACCATGACAACAGTTCTCTTATTACTAGATGTCCTGCTGCCATGCTCTCAATTTCAGCAATTAATTTTGACACACATAGTGAAACATATATTACATGTAATTGTACATAGATATTATACTGCGTAAGGCGTTGGTGATAGATAATCCAGTCTTGTGTGTTAGAAAGTGCTGAACCAGTTTTTGAACAGTTTTGCAATAGATCATGTTGATGTGCCCTGGTTACAGTGATCAGTAACCAACATTTCCTACTTTGTATAGGAAACTGCCTGTTCTGTAGGTTATGACCCAGAACACATGGATTTGAATTTCTGTCAGCCTTAAAACTTCTAAACCCAAATTGAAAACTAAACTGCATCATGCCCAATGTCATCTTGTCACTTTCCAGTATAATTTTCATTGGGGGTGAAATGTCGTAAAAATTGACAGAAAATCTATTCCTGTGTTTTTAGAGTCCAGAAATCTATTTAAACTCTAATCATTTTAATTTTTTAGGTATGGGCCTATCAAATCTTTCACTAGCATTATGTTATAAGACTATTTTATGATGATAAATGAAATGTAGAAAAATCATTTGTATGTTTAATTGTTGCCAAGCTTATTTGAAATCCAGAAATGGTATAGTTTTTGTATGAAATACAAAGAGAAGACTTACAATGTATACAATACCAATAGAAAGGGGTGGGGCTTAATCATGTGTACAGAACTGGGGGGAAAGGGATGGGGCTTCAAAGTGTTTACAACAGAATGGGGTGGGGCTAATGTTGTTTCCATATAGAGAGAAATAGAGAAATGGATCATCACTTATCAGTGGTGAATGTATTCGTTTAAGGTCCCTGCCTTGTAGGGATGAACACATTATATGTCTGTTATGGTCTAATGATGAAGATGGTAGGTTGGAGGTTAGGCAAGTCTGAGGGGCAAAATGACAATTCAATGATTGGGGTGGGGGGGGTGGGGGGGCTCAATGGCCAAGTGATTAAGACGTCCGACAGTCTACTACCACTAGCCTTCCACCACTCGGTCGCGGATTCAAGACCTATGTGGGGCAGTCGCCAGCTACTGGCCGTAGGTCGGTAGTTTTTCTCCAGGAACTCCGGCTTTCCTCCACCACCAAAATAATTCCTTAAATGACCATAGCTGTTAATAGGACGTTAAACACAAAAAACAGTGTAACCAGATTGGATTTAGGCCTTTGCATGCATGTGGAAGTGGTCTAGATACAGTTAGTGCAATTAAAATGTTGTGGAACATGAACCAATATAAAATCATTTAATAGAGAAATAGGGAGCATTTCAAACAAGTGTCAAAACTGCATGAATGCAGAGCTTACCTAATTCAGTGTTTGACAGAATTGTTTGAATAGAGTTAAAATGAAGAAAAAAAGTAAGAAAATGGACAGAAATGGTAGCATACTGATCAGCTGAATGGTATTTTGGAATTCAGTTATTCAGTTTAAGCTAAATTCAATGAGTTAGGCTATCAGCAGGCTGTTAATACCCCAGTACATCTGTACTTATGTTGTCACCTCACTTTATGCTTTTTTGATACACTATTTTTATCGAAGTTTTGTCCTTTTTTACAAAAATAATTACAAAACTCTTGTTTGGATAATTATTCCTATTTTTAAACCAATTTTTGTAAAACTCCAAAATTTATGATAACCACACTATTAGGTTGTAGACCTATGCTCATTTTATGGGAGTCGCGCCCATTTTGCAAAATGCCTAGCCAAATCTTGTCTGCACAACTCCTACAGTATTGATCAAACTTTAAGATGCAATAACACACTAGAAAGATAAACACCTATCCTTGCTGCATTAATTCAGCCATTTTTATGGGAGTTGTCGTAGTTGCCTGGTATGTTACTTTTCTGATTTCAGCCTCTGAATTGTGTCTAAAGTATTTTTTTCTACCATCTTGGCTGATGTGATTAATTTATTTCAAAGGAAGTTTTGGCCCTTCAACTAATATTTTAATATACATGGTAGTTGGAATGTTTTACAAGATAGTTTGAGATGGGTTGGTGTATTGTTAGCTATGGGAAAGTTCTATTTTATTAGTTTGCCAATCAGTTGTCTCCCTGGTAGCATTTATTAACAGCCTGCTGTACCAAACCGTCAGCAATAAAAATCAACACAGACCAATGCAAATGGTACATCACTATATCCTTACTGTGCCATTTTGTTATTAGAGCATCAACATTTGGTTTATTAGATACTAGAGACTATTCTGTGAATATCACCAATAACAATTTTATGTTTCTATTACAATTTTAAAAGCTACATGCAAGTTTTACAAACATAATGGATGTAAGAGGTTTGAAATGCTTTTATATTGTAGATTTGCCACAATTTCAATGTAATTATTTTTTACTTGTTCTTATAAAGTTCTAATACATGTGTACCTTCATTGACATATAGAGAGGCTTCCCTAGATCTTGGGAGGGATAGCCTAGTCCAAACATTAATGCAATAATTTATTTTTCTCTCAAAATTAATGAGGAAGAAATCAAAACTAATTGCTGATCTAAGTTCAGTGTATTGTTGTGTGCATGCATGACTTGTGTTATAAATGTTAGCACGGTGTTGTATCTTTTAGATTGTAGATCCCAGTGTGATTGGGCGATCTGTTGACCATTAGTCTTACAGTCTATAACCTTGCTTGTCTCTCTTCCTGCCTACTCTGATATATCTTGCAGGCTATTTATAACTCAGGTCCTTGTCATCCCTATCTCCTTGCATAATTACTCATCTTTGTCACCTCAGTTCTTGATATTGTTTTTCTCTTCCTCATGAAGAACAACGACTAAAGTGTAACACATGTATGTAATGACACGAAAATGCTCAGGTGATTTTCAGCTTTTCAATGCACAATGAGTTTGAGGACATTTGGTTTACTAGTTGAAGTAAGAATAACTGGTTTAATATTGGGATGAAGGTTAACTGATTTACTTGTGGGTTTGAAGACAACTGATTTTTAAGTGGGTTCAAGAATAACTATTTTAAATTAATTGGTAGTGGGTTTGAGGTTAAATGTTTTGTTTTTGAGGATAATTGTCAAACTAGTAATTTTGGAATAATTCTGTGCCAGAAATTGGTTGGAGGTAAATGTTAGTGTAAGGGAATAAATGGTTAACTATTGTAGTGGGTTTCAGGTAAACTGGGTGTTTGAGGATAACTAGTGTACTAGAAGTGGGTTTGAGGGACATTTTAAGCCGTAAGAGTCGCAAGATCAAGGCCATACACACTAATATGGAACTGCTTGGTTGTATGTTTGGTTAACATGTTGTGTTCTAGTTTAATCTAGCTTTGGATCAAGACTTCATTGTATGAAATAGAATGCTGTGTTCTTGTG